GATGAACAAACACACCGATCTAACGGTTCTGATTCCGCAGCACGTGGTTCGATTATTGATTATGAAAGTCATACGATAACAACAACCACTCAGTCAACCACTGTTGCCGAATTAAATGCCTTAATGAAGTGTTTCGGAACGTGCTTGTTCCTAAGAGCCTTATTGGCCGACGTGACGTAAGCGGCGAAATTGTCCCCATTCACATACATACTGACGCGAACAACCTGGTGACAACCGCGCAAACAACGCACCTTCCAGGGCAGAAGGAAACACATCATCTGATTCAGGTGCTTGGACACGAGGGCAACACAGGACATCTTGATGATCTCAGTCATATCGCGAACGAGTACTGCTTAGCCGATCTGCTAACTAAGCATACCGCGAAACCTGATCAGCTTGTTTTATCGATCACCACTGGAAGGTTGGATCAGGTTGATGTCCACCCACCGTTCAGGTCGCTGCTCAAACATAAGGCATTTCTCACTACATGGGTTATAGAAAATCTTCATGAACCACACAACGTTATCCCGTTTCTCTGTGAAGATATTACTGATTTTGTGTTTGCATTGATGTATATACTTTGAAGAGTGAATTTTCTTTTCAAGAAAATTTGTGTCTGCACCTCTCGGCTCAACAGGGAAGAGGGCATACCCTTGACAGCTGCTACACTTTCAATTCGCCTTTTGGAGCACCGGCCTGTATACTCGCTCCACACTCTTTGCACGTATAATCATTGCTCAGAACTATGCCGCCTGTTCAATCCTCAGCGCCAAGACCCGATAGTACGGGCTTCACTCCAAGAGGAGAAAGAACACCACGAGGTGATCGTCCCGGACACATTCCTAGAGGCGGACGGCCCGAATCTACGGGCAGACGCCAAGCATACGACGATTCCGTCCTTAGAGATTCCCAAGGAAAAGAAGTCAGAGATAAACTCATTGACTCTGCCTTTATGCAACCTTTAGATATCGTTCGTGGAAACTCTGCAGCCTTTGTAGAAGGTCTGATCCAAGTACTCTGAAAACACGGAGGTGTTCAGACAGATGCAGATTATGCTGAAATTATGAACGATGATGTTTTCACGCTGGGATCCAGACATTTGTCATATGTATTTCGTCACAGCCGACTGACCCACGAAGACGGATCTCTCAGCCTCAATGAGTTGCTCAGCCATGGAGGCGCGACCCGCAAGATCCGACAGATGAACCGACAGGGTCACCGCAAGTTGAAGGAGATAGATGAGACCCAGATCGGCAGGAATATGAGGAGCCGAAATACGGCCATCGTATTCATGATGCCACTCGCACAAATCTGCTGTAATTCCAACAAAAGCCGGTGCAAATTGGATATTTAACCCGAAACGAGTATGAACCTGGCAAGTTAGCAAATCCACTTTCGGGGTTTAAGCCATCTATGTTTGAACGTGATGGTGAGCGCATGGCGCAAGCAGATCAGCTGGAACAACTTGATGTGGCATCCGTTTTCATCCGTTTAGAGTCCGGGCATTCAAACCGATCTACGGTTCAACATGCCAAATTTGATCCCAACGATTTCCGATATCTGGTCCACGGAACAAATGAAAGAAATCTCCCGTCGATACGCTGCCGCGGCTTACTTCGGGGAGGAACTCGTGGCGGGCGACAAGATGTCCATTTCGCTTTTGATTGTTCATTAACTACCATGCAAGACAGTCTCCGCCCAGAGTCCGACTGTAGCTGACTCAGACCCCGAATTTACGGAGAGTCAGTACGTCCTAACTAAACAGCCAGTACCCTTCAGCCGATTTCTCGGCGTGTGGTCGTTGGTGGATACAACGTCCGAAAGGCTCCGATCTTGCTTTAATGATTAACTGGCTATACCTCGGACAGGGATGTTATAGCAAACCACCAATATTACTGGCAAAAGACGAACCAGAATGAAAGCGACCGAGGATTTTGGACCCGTCGGCAATATATCGATTATGTGACTGAAAGGCTTACAGATCCTTCATATGTAAACAACTTTATCACCAGCTTTCAAACGCAACGAGCCGCGTCGGCCAAACCAGCCAGAGAAGGACCTACGCCGAATGACCGACCACTAAAGCTTCCAGTCACTGAAGAAGATCGAAGAATATCCGAAATCCGGAAACAGATCTCAGAACGCTTTAAGGGAAGGTATGAAGAGAGAAGTTGACGGCAAGCCAAAGGCATCTGAAAAAGCCACATCAGCTGCCAAGAAGGAGAGCAAGGAACCAGCAGAAGAGACCACAGACAGCGATACATCAGTATCAATACATTTTCCGGATAAGATAAAGGCAAAGGCAGTGCCCAAAAAGGCATCCTGGCAGAAGAAATTCGATATCCCGAATCACTCTGCACCAGCATCATCATCCGCACCTTCTAAACCTGCCGATACCACGGCGAGGAAAGGACCCTAACAAGCAAGAAGTCCGAGAGCCACCCAAAAAGAAGGAAACCTCACAGCGAGCTAAGGACATGCTTGATGATGCAAATGCTAGTTCAAGATTTACAAACATCCAATGGTTCCCAAGACCAGAAGGAAAATTGGAATGCTGCAACATTGCTAATTGCCAATGTGAGCACGCCATGTACTGGTGCCACCGCTGTGGATATGCATACTGCCTTGACTGCCGACCTCACGGCGAGGCATGTGATCACCACATCTGCAACTATTCATCCGAAATCGGAGAGCACAAACGCGGCCAAAGACTCAACATTCAGTGTTGCGGATCTTGTCTTTGACACACTTGGTCAGGAAGCCTACTTTGGCTCCCGTAGGGCTGAACAATCCGATTGCCGGAGATCGGCCTTTGATGACCTTATCGACAAGTGTCATGAAGGGACAAAGGTAGGAAACAGTTATCTTCAGTCCCTTTTGAAACATATGGAGTTGAAGAATATCCTTTTGCAGAATTTGTTTATGAACTGCCTGATAGACGGCGAGTACCTATACTTGCGTGAGCACTTCCGACAATGATCCAAATCTTGTGAAGCGAGTCACGCCGCATCCGGCTCCACCGAGTCACGCCACGAGACGATGAAGACTGGCACATCTCAGAAATTCAAGGTAGGAAGGACATTGAATCATGCGACCTGCTTAAACCGACATCCGGTGCAGATAACCATGATGTCCGCCGACTCGGCCTGGCCGAAGTGCGCAGTGCTGTTTTTCACATTTCATCTTACGCCTGGAGCCATGCATGTGCAGAATTATGTGAAAGATGGGTTGAGTTCATTGCATCCTGCATCTCCCATCAAGTTGACTTTATACAGGGAGATGGCAACCTATTCGCACAGCGCAATTTTAAGAAAGATGCACATTCCGATTTCCGGAGCTGCGTCTTGATTGACTTCTTAGAGAAATTCCTAGGCCAAGTCAATTTGCACCGGTCAGCGATGAACCGCATCTCATACAATGTAATTTTTTCTAGCCAAGCAGCTGAGTATATTAAAGCTCAAGAGAACGACCCGCCTGCAGATTGCGACCCGATGTTATGCATCAGTCTCTGTTATGGAAAACACACCATCGTGACCGAGGACCGTAGCAAACAACAATCCGCTAGTGCGGATGGCTACGCAGGATCATCATTTGACAATGAGATCATGCTTAGCGATGTAGAACAGCCGAAGCATCTCATGGTTTACGACTTAGGCCTAGGCGATGCAGACCAGGCTTTCCATTCTCCCTTGGTGGCCATCGCAAATATGAGAGCGATTAAGAATTATCGAATTCGCTCACAAGCAGCCGAAACACGGCGACGAAGTCGATGGCAAGAGAGAAATGTTGAAGACATGCAAGCTCGCCAAGAGCGTGGGGAGATTCGCCAAGAAAGACAGGACACTGTTCCACCATTGCGCAGAGACAACTTCTGACAGACGGAGAGATCTCAACAAGACCGAGAAAGATCTGGGAGCCGACAACGCGGCCGTGATCACTCTACTCCTCGTGGAACTCGTGCATCAACACCAGCACGTGCATCCGCATCCGCAAGTGGTTCAACACCACCGTGGAGAGAAGACCGTGGCCGACAGCGATCAGCAACACCACAAGGAAGAAGAACCAGAAGCTGCACCGGCGACGGTCACGCCAGAGGAGCTTATTGGACAAACACTGGCCATCAACAACGCCAGCAACAACAGTATCGCCAACCAACTCAGGGCACAGGAGCCGCCTGGCTGATTCAAGGATATCAACAACAGTACGGCCAGCAGCCTCCTCGCGAACCCTACCAGCACCGACATCCCAGTCAGGGTTACTATCAACAACCATATTACAGGTACAACCAGCAAAGCTCTTCCGTAGAGTACGTATCTGGCTATCAGTTGCCTTATGAGCATTGGCACAGAAATGCAGACGGCACATGGATCGACATGGTGCCGCAATTTCCAGAAGACTCAATTTATTTCAATCAATTGTCATGGCAGAGAAGACAGAATGATTTGTATCTTTATTTTGTGTCTCCGGGCATGTTTCACAGCAGAGCATAAGCTGAGCGTTTCTTATGCAAGAGCGAAATTTTTTACTGCATGTTACGACACGAAGAAAATTTGTGTCTGTTTTGTAACCTACTTGTGGGGACGTGTCTACACAATGCATATACAGTTTGCATACTATGTGACATGTTCACTTTAATTCATATCATCCACTGCGCCACTCCGTGGCTCAAGACTTGCTGCTAGCATAGCTGCATAGAAAGGTGCTGCGCTCCGACCGTTGACCACAAGTGTTCCTAGCTCAGGGGCCCTAAATACTCCATGGGGATTGCTGCCTCAGGAGGGGGGGCAACGTGGGTAATTATTTTACCCTCACGAAGGTTTCATCGTATAACTACCGAAGACACCATCAACCCCCTGAAAATAATTTTGGAGGGGGGAGGGGGGGCAAGGAAGGTAGGGCAGATATTTTAGTACTTGAATCTTTTTGCTATCAATGGTATAATTAGTCCTCACCAGCTAAACATGAGATTTTTTGAGAGGTATCTAGGATTCACCATGCAGGCTAAAAATGATGGATGGTGCTCAGAGAAACTACGAAATCCCAAAAACCTTTACGGTGGAAAGACCTGTCCATTGGAGTCGCTGCTCAGCAACTACAATGCCAGTCTGGTGGATGGTTTCTTCAGATTGGCTGAGTCGATGTTTTTTTCCTCATTTTTTCCCATTGCTGAGCCCACAGCCGGGGAATGGATTGAGGGAATACGGTCGGTGTCCTAAGTCATAGGGGTACCCCAAAATCATCCAAAATTAGGCCGTTTGAGTATTGAAACCCATGGTGACTGGGGGGGGGTCTCATTTTAAGAAACCATGATATGTTTTACTTTCTTGGGACCCTCTGGATCGCACCAAGGTTTATTTCAAAGTAACAGCAACAGAGCTGACCCAGCCCTCAATGGCTGGCCCTTTGAGGAGGTGTGCGAGCGCGTGTGGAAGTCCAGTCGGCGAGGCGATGTGATGGTGCACGTGGGCGACTACTTGTAACTGGGATGGTTTAAGTATACTTGGGGGTGCGGGCCCCACTTAGTAAATGGGTCCAAAACCCCCAGCCCTGGCTCAAGCCTCCTAACAGCAGTGGAGGGGCTTTTCCGCTGAGCACTTGAGAGTAGTTGGTGAGCTGGTTCTCTGACGCTGGTACGTGCAGGTCGGTTTGTGTGCGGGCGCTGCATCGGTCGGTCGGTCTGATGGCCTCTTGGCCGGACGCGGTGCTTGGTTTCAGGACGGAAGGTAATGGCATCCTGAGTGCCTATGCCAGGTGCCTTAGGTTGTTGTCCGGCCTTTCTTCTGGGCCTTCTATGGCGTGGCTGATGGATCGTGTTCGTGCCGGCGTCAACGCTGACCTTGTTGCGACACTTGCTGCTGATCCTTTGGTGTTGGCATTGCGTGAGCGCATCGAGGGTGCCGATGAGGTCTCGCTGGATTACTGAGGTGTGGTCTGAGGCCCTGGAACTGCCTGCTGCGGTTACTATGCCTTTTGCCTCGGTCAGGCGGCGTCCACCGGTAGGTCTTCAGACGGCAGCCACCCTTGTTAGCGGTGATTCTATGAAAAGGGTCATTCCTCTTTTCTCCATTCGTCACGGGACGGGTTGGAATGAGCGAGGTTTAGTTTGTCCGGAGTGGGTTTCTGATCTGCTGCCACCCTTGCCCCTTGTCTGGCAATTCGAGGTAGCGGCAGAAGATAAGGCTGCTCCGCTTGCCGTCTTTCATGGACAGGTGCAGGATTTGCCTGCGTGGAGAACGCCCTGGGTTGTCCCCTTCACTGCACAACATGAACTCCTGAGGGAATGTGTGGTTAGGTTTGTTCCGTCTGGTGCTTGCATCTTTGAGAAGAATGGAGAAGAGACGATCATGCCGAGCTTTTTTCACTCAATGGTCGTACCTCCGTCGATGGTGGCAAACACGGTGGTTGTAACTGGTGTCCGTGAGTTCTGTGGGGTCTTGGGCAAGTACCAGACGTCAGAGGTAGGTCTGGCGTTTCCATCCGTGCTTTGTGCCGACACGCCATGGCGCTTCTTTGTGGGAATGGTCAAGGATGAGGTCCTCTTCAGGCAGTTTGATCACGACCTGAAAGTCGCCAATGGGGACTACTTCGGGCAATTGGTGGTCAAGCATGGTGAGATGAGTGTGTCCAAGAGGACTCGGAAGAGGCGACATCAGGTGCAACATCAGGCTGAAGATGCAGCCAAGAAGTCCAGGAGTGAAGGTGGGCCGTTCGCAAGTCGTCCGGAACATGTCGGGGGCCCTGCTCAAGGAGAAGAAAGTGGTGGCGATGTTGGCCGCTCGCATGGAAGTGAGACTCAGGTTAGTCGGGGACAGCACAACGGTTGTATCTACCTGTCTACCTGTTTGCCAAGTCATCAAAGGCCATGCCGGCTTCTTCCTTGGCCAGTGGTAGCCGGGGCTCGCGTGGGCGTTCGGCCTCTCCCAGGCCTAGGGAAACTGAAGGGCGACCTACATCGCCATCGAGGTCGCCTTTGCCGCACCAAAGGGCTGCCATTGCAAGGAATCGTGTCATTCCTGCTGAGAGAGATGAGTCACGGGTGATGATGTTTCCCCCTGACTGGCAATGTTTTAGCCCGGAATGCATGAATCATGTGAAGATGGTGTTCGCAAAGAAGGACAAGTGTCCGATCTGTGGGGCCTCGCGGCCTTCGTCTTCCACCAGGACAAGAGGATCTGAGCGAATGAGTGGCAGCGAGTTTAGGCGGTTTAACCCAGCACGTAGTGATGTCTCACAAGGACGGGACACTCGTGACGACCGAGATTCCATGGCGCGGTCATTGGTCGGTTCTCATGCATGTTTGGCCCCCCCCCCCTTCCGGTTTTCAGGTCGGTTCTTCTGGGAATCATGTCACTCTGCAGGCCGAGACATATCATCCTGTTCCTCTTCAAGACGTTTCGACAGAAGGCCAGGTGGAACGGTCGGTTGGTGGGTTAGCCTTGACGGTGCGGTCTACGGTTGAGCTGAATGAATGCGGGGTCTCCTCTCCCGGTTTTCAGGTCGGTTCCTTTCAAAGTCGTGTCATGCTGCCGGCTGAAACAAGTCATCCTGGTCCTCTTTAAGAAGGTTCGGAAGGCCTGGCAGATCGGTCAGTTGGTGGGGAGGTCTTGGATGACGTGGGTCCGGTTTCACAGAGGGTACAGCAGTTGGAGGATCAACAACAGGCCACCTTGAAGGAGATCAAGATGGCCATCGAGCAGTCGCCCAGAGTCAGGAAGGTTGACACTCGTCGTGCAGTAAGAGCTATCTCTGCTGAGGGGCTGTGTCGGCCCAAGTTTGAAGTGGGTGATGTTTTGGGGTCCTTTCGCCTGTCCCGTGGCTGTGGGATGGTCTCTCGTTTTCCTCTGTACAGCTTTGAGTCTCCGGTTATCGACGGTCGCTTTTGGGAGTCTAACCGGTTTTTTTTTGGGGGAGCTTGCTATCTGTATGGTCACGCTTTATTTGTGGCCAATGCACCTTTGGCCTCTCGCAGATACTTGGAGAACTGTGAGATAATTTGTGCGGGTGTGCAGTTGGTTAGGTCCGTTTCGGGGCCGGTGATTTTGACCGGGGATTTCAATGCCTCGTTGACTGCCTTCGATGATATGAAGGCCCTTTTGGCCGACGGTTGGGTTGATGCGGCTCTGTTTGATGCCGAACGGCGTGGGACGAGGCCTGAGCCCAGTTGTAAGCGGGCTACCAGGCATACCTTTTGTGTTGTGAGCCCCTTGCTGGTCCCGGCTCTCAGTTCCTGTGTTGTGGGCTTTCACGAAGACCTTCCCACGCATGCAGTCTTGGTCACGGAGTTTGAGCTCCCTGCCTCGAACCCTCGCGTGTATAAGTGGATTGCTCCGAGACAGTTGGACCAGGTGGCCTTCGATGTCGCCAAACTTGAACGTATGGCTGAAGAGGTCGGAGAGGCACGTTGGCGAAATGCAGTTGATCGGCCTTGGAGAAAGGTTTGCCCGGTGAGGCTTTTGCGAATTGGTCTCAATTGGCTGAAACGATTCTGCTGTCTTCCGTTGATGGGGAGGTCGATGTGAGTGGACCCGCTTGGGCCGGGCATGGGCAGCTGGTTGAACCGGTGTTGAGAACTTGGCCCCCCCTCGTTTTCATTCGGGACGTCCTGGTGACTTCCGGTTGGAGATGCCATCTGTTGCGCTCGAAGCTGGACGGTGGCAAAAGTTGGTCCGGCAGATTGAGGCCTTGTTGCGGAAACTCAAGGCTGGGTGTCGTTCGGGTGACCCACACAGTTTCGAGGCCGAGATTCAGTTCATTTGGCTTGCAATTGTTGGTGCACCTATACGTCCGCGGTTCCCTCCGTGGTCGTACGATGTGGTTGGCTTTGCCCCGCAGGTGTTACCAGGCGTCGTTATCCTGGAGACACTGTATCAGGCCGCCACAGACCATGCTCAGGGTGTGTCCAGAAAGCGTTGGGCGTCGAAGCGCGAGGCTTTCAAAGAGCAAGTCGAAGATTCTTGGAATGGACATGGAGGTAGGTTCCCCTTCCGTTTGCTCCGTGAGCAACAGCAGCCCCCGGTTATGGAAATGAGGCTGAGAACTCAGCTATGATTGAAACCGCAGAGGTAGATGCCAGATGGTAAACAGTGGTTGCGTGTCTATGACAGTTCGGACTTGCGGGTGGGAGATGCCTTGAGCGGTAGTGTTGATTGCAAGGTTACGGAGGTTCAAGAGGACGCAATCAAAGTGGATGCCCGGCTTTCAAGACGTGAAGCCGCTGGGCTCGAAAAGGTTGAGGTGTCGCTTGATCCCAATGTTTGGGCGGGTGCTTTCTTTTGGGAGTGGGGTGCTTTTTGGCAACGGGAAGGTGAACTGGATTAAGGGACCCCTTGGAGACCTATGCTTGACTGCCTTCCGCAGGTTCCGGAGCAGGTCCTTGGTGAGATCACCTTTGTGGACTGGAAGGCCGCTCTTGGTAAGGCGAAGACTGCCTCTATGCGAGGTACATGTGGTTGGTTGGTGAACGAATTGCGTAGGCTGCCTGAAGTGGCGGTTCTTCCAGTTGCGGATTTTCAATGCGATCGAGAAAGGAGGTGATTGGCCCAAGCAACTTCAACAATGGCTGGTGGTTTTGCTGCGTAAGGAGGAAGGGAGCCCCGAGTGGAATTCAGTGAGGCCGATTTCTGTGGCCCCTGTGGTTTACAGGATCTGGTCGCGGATCCGCACGCGGCAGCTGCTTGCGTTGTGTCAGTCCTTTGCTTTGCCCACGGTCGGCCCGCGTTTGTCCACGCGTTCGTTGTGGGGATATGTTGCTGATTTCGTGGCGGAGGAGGCGCATGCTGGTTTGGTGTTGGACACCATCAAGGCCTTTAATGTTCTCCGTCGTCCTCTGGTTCGAGATGTCATGTGTCACTGTGGGGTCGGCTGCAACTTGGTAGCTGCATGGGCATGGCTACGAGGGCTTGACGGTATGGAGCGTCATTTGCTTGTCGCTGGCAACATCTATCGTGCTGATTCGGCCTATCGCACAAGCTCTGCAGGTGTGCCGGAAGGTGACCCGTTGTCGGTGGTCGCAATGTATTGTATGTGCCGGTTCTTCGCCCTCTGGGTACAAACCAAGGCCGACGTCATGCCATTGACGCATGCCGACAACTGGCAGGTTTTGGCAAGTGCATGAGGTCAGGCGCGTTTTGGAGCCCTTGCCTTTTGTTGCTCAGTTTCTGGAGTGCTGCGCTTTGCCCATCTCTCCGAGCAAGTGCTGGATGTGGAGTGCAACGGCGGAGGGGCGACGAAGGACGAGGGCGGCAAAGCTGAACGATGCCCGCATATACCAGTCAAGTTGCAGGCCGTTGACCTTGGTGCCGACCTGCCTTACTGTAGGAAGAGGGCGGCAGCTAAGAGGAATCAGCGGTGTCCGCAGGACACAAGCGGTTGCTTAGAGCCAGAGGCATTCCATGCTCCAGGTGGCGCAAAATAGCAGGTTGATTTTGTCCGGGGTTTGGGCTCAATGTTTGCATGGGGCCGAGACTTGCCAGGTCCCTTTTTCCGTTTTGAAAAGATTGCGTACGCAGGCAGGTCGGGTTGTGTCCCTTGCGAAGCCCGGTGTCAGCCCTTGGTTGGCCTGTTCGGTCAGACGGTTGATCCGGCTTTCTGTTTGCTTTTGCAGAGGATCCGTCTCTTCCGGCTCATGTGGAGGGACTTCCCGCAAGCGCATAGACGCATGCAAAGAGGTCTGGTCTCGTTGAGGTGCGGTAACGGAGGTGTGTCTTGTCTGTTGGCAAAGCAGTTGCGCTCCTTGGAGTGGCTGCCGCTAGGGTTGGAAGTTCAGGACGATGTCGGTCGGTCCTTCCATTTGGTGGAGATGCCGTTGAATGCGGTGCGGAGGTTTTGGAGTCGTCATGATGGACCAGGTGGCCAAGAATATGTCCCGCAAGTCCTGCGCCGAGGCTTGCCAGATTGACTTGGGCTTGTCGCGCACTTGGATGAAGTATCCTCTGGCCGAGCAGAGTCTTTTGCAGTGTACCGGGGTGACCTACACGCGCGATTGCCTGTCGCATGCGGTCGGCTTGGATGTCTCGAAGGCTTGTCCCCTTTGTGGTCTGGACGACTCCAGGCTTCATCGGGCGAAGTTCTGCGAGGCGGTGTCGGAGCTGAGGAATCCTTTTCTGGCGTTACTCGGGGATAGAGTCCTGCCGGAGCACATGGGCCTATGGGCTGTGGGACGAACCGTCCGTGTTGCGTGAATGGCAGGCTGACACATGTGCTCTGGATTGGCCTTTGGAGCTTGAGTCGTCCGTTGTCGGCAGGCTGTTCGTCTTCACTGATGGGAGCTGTTTGTCGCCCCGTACCCCCATGCTCAGTATTATTGCGGGTGGCTCCGTGATCTTGACACGAAGTACAAGTCAATATGAGGTGGTTTGGTCGGGGCTTGTGCCTGGGTTGGATCAGTCAAGCTATCGGGCGGAACTCCTTGCGATCACGGTCGCCTTGGCTTCCTTTTCCTGTGTCACTGTTTTCTGTGATAACTTTCAGGTGATCACGTTTGCCACGAAGCTCCTTTGTTTGCCAGTGTGCGAACGATGCAATCACCTGCCTGTTGAGCACCAGGATCTTTGGAGGTACTTTTGCCACCGCACGCGCGCGAGAGAGAGAGAGAGAGTGGGGCAATTGTATTGAATTAACTGTCAGGTGGGTGCAAGCATCAGGACGTTGCCACTCTTACTGGCGAGGCAAGGATCTTGGCTACCTTCAACAGCTATGCTGATGCCGAGGCGCGAAAAGTGGTGGTTGCGCGTGCGCGTCATGCGCTGTATCAGGAGTTGTTCATGTCTTGCCATGCCGATAAGGAGCTTGCGGTCAGGTTGGACATGCACATTGCCATCGCTCAGGCCTTTGTTGAGGTGGATCGGCCCAAGAGGATTTGCCCGGACCCAGCTGGCTTTCAGGTGGTCGGTATACAGGGGGAGCTAGGCTCGATGGCCTCGAAGCTGGTCCTCAGGTGCATGATGCGTTTTCTAGTGCGTTGGCCGGGTGGTTGAGGGAGTTGCGGTGGTACCCCTTTTATGCTGCCGGCTGGACTGGTATCACTGTGCTCGAATTATTGTGGCAGTTCATTTGCGACACTGGTGCGTTGCCCCCTTTCTTGTATGAGGGTAAGTGGTGCACGCTTGATGACTCTGTCTTGAACTCGTTTGTGCTTCCCGGTATGCCGCGGCTCTATCGCTCTTGGACGCGTGCGCTTGGTTCGGTTGTTGGGATTCCCCTGTTGGGCGGGGACGGTGCGGAGGGCAGCCCCGGTGTGACCCTGGGGTTCACCGGGCTGGAGGTGGTGGGTCGGGTTCCCCTGCACCCCACGGTGGTTGAGGACTTGTCCTCTCTTTTTCGTAGGTCGTGTTCGGTGTCGTCACTGAGGTTTCCGTCCTTTTGGTACACCTCTGTACAGATAGTGGATTAGTAGCTCACACAAGCTGGTCGGCTACTTTTCCTGCACTCGGATTTCTTGCGCGATGTGAGAGAGGGTCCAAAACCCCAGTTATATATATATATATTATATGTATGTATGTATGTATGTATATATATATATGGAATATCCCCACTTATATGGTATGAAATATGGGTTATATATGGATTATAAACCACGGATCCTAAGTGGGATGCGCATCCAAGTATGGAGCTTTCCTAAGTCATATGGTGGTACCCCCAAGTCATCCAAGTCATGGATGATGATGACTTAGTATATATTGAAACCCATGGTGACTTGGGGATCCCCTATTTTAAGAAACCCTCATATGTGCTCAACGTTTTGAACTGCTTTGTGCTTCAACTCCCTTTCAATTTGTTCAGAACCATGTTTTCGCGTCGACGGAGGGATCTGAGTTTCAGCTTAAGTCGAATCCATGATCCAGGTACTCTCACAACGAATGTCCTTTTCCCTTTCCAGATCAACCTCCTGCCGGAGAAGAACGCGTCTTCGGTGACTGCACTGGAGTGGGTGATGACTGGGGTGACACAAGCGCTGGTTGGATTCGTGAGTTCTTTGGTCCAGCACGTGACCTGCTTCGTCGGTTGCCATGGATTGTACTACGGGGAAATCACGAGGAGTGCGCGCGAAGTGGTCATGGATGGTTCCGCTACCTAGAGCCCAGACCAAGTGAGTCCTTTGTGGGGGGTGGTGACATCAATGCTCCTTACTGCGTCACCGGTTCCAACTCTTACAATGTGGAATTTGACCATGACAACTGGTTAGTGGTTGATACCAGTTCAGTGGCAGGTGAGGAGATCAGTATTGATCACTACACAATGGAAGAGTACACCAAGATGGACGCGGAGGCGGCTGGAACAGCGCCAGTTCTTTCTTTGGACAATTGTGACACAAAACCTGCCAGTGGCGACTTGGAGAATCATTCTGAACTGCCCCCTATAGCCTCTCTCTCTCTCTCTATATATATATATATATCAGTTCATGCATCTTGGGACACTTCAGCAACCAGAATCCACAACAGGGATCCATAACATGGCGCTAAGGCGTTTCTTCATGCTGCTTTTGCTCAATTCGCATTTTCAGCCGTATCTTCAGTGCATGCAGTATTTATATTGCTTGAGTTGGCATGCCTTCATTGGATTCACACTTTTTTGGTTGAGTCTTCACTTCGACTTGATCCAGTGGCAAGCATCTTGTTCCCTCGACATGGCTGTGGCAAAGACATGGCCAATTTTCCCTGCAGTTAATTGGTATGTTTCACGATAGTCCCTAGTAGAGAGAGAAAGAGAAAGAGAAAGAGACAGAGACAGAGACAGAGAAAGAGACAGAGACAGAGACAGAGAAAGAGAAAGAGAAAGAGAAAGAGACAGAGACAGAGACAGAGACAGACAAAGAGAAAGAGAAAGAGAAAGAGAAAGAGAAAGAGAAAGAGAGAGAGAAAGAGACAGAGACAGAGAAAGAGAAAGAGAAAGAGAGCGAGAGAGAGAGAGAGAGAGCAAAACCACATGAGCAACGGACGAAATTCAGGAATTAACACCTCAGCAGAGGTGTGGACATGGGGTATGCCAAACCCCCAGATAGGGGGCCACCCAGTTTTGCTGTAACCATTTTGCCGCCAAATTTTGATCCGAAACTCCCATGGCAAAGAAGGAGCGACAACAAAACATGGCCGAGAACCCATCCCATAATGCCCATCTATGGTATATTTACTAGCATTTGCCCCCAGAAAGACTTATAGATGTAGGGAAACATGGGGGGTTCCAAAAATGAGGGTACCCCAAAATAGATGGTTTATAATGGAAAATGCCTCTTTCAATGGATGATTGAGGGGTAACCTCCATTTTCGGAAACCACCATATCGCAACCCCAGTTGACATGGGCATGAGACACCTATGCACTTCACCTGTCCCAGGTGACGATCATATCGCGAAGTTCCAGCAACTCACTCAGCTTAGCAACTCTGCTAGTCGCCAGTGGCTTGCCTCTCACCGGCCTTTGTTTGGATTGACCTTTCAGGACGGGGGTGAAGCAGCCATTGGTGAAACGTCTGGGTGAAACAAAAGTGACCTCACGTCGTCTACGAACCTTGGAATGATGGTGACTGGTAAGGGGAATTCTCTCAATAAAGCCTTATTTTAGGTTAGTGAAATGTATTAATTTACTCAGAAACATGGTGCAACAATTGCCATTGGTAATTTAAACCTTGAGCGGAGCTTGGAGTATTTGGAGTTCAGTAGGCCCTCCCGTCCAGGATCACGGTTCTGGTGGTCAGCTCTATTCCTTTCAGTGTCAGCTGTCTGATACCTTGGCCAAGTCCGCTATCTCCTTGCCCAACGTTGCAGCTGTTGTCAGTGGACATTTCCACGGCTGGCAGCTGGTGGAATTTCAGGAGACGCGGCCTGCGCAGCTTGTGGTGGGCAACAGCGGTACTCAATTGGCCACGCCTCGCGATGGGTCGCCCAATGGCATCTTTCGTGCTCATGGGAGGCCGCTGCTTGGGCAAAACATCTCCCACTCTCCGACCGTGGGCGAGTTTGGGTGGAGCCTTTTGGATGTTTCTGGCGAAACGAACCCCAAGATGTCTGCCTTCTTCTTGGCAGATGAGGACTTTGAGTCGACCCCGGAGATTCATCGTACACTTGTCCGCCGCACCTTGCAATTGAATGAGACTTGGGCGCGATAGGCTAAAATGGCACTGACAGCCTCCTTGGAGCTCGGGACTCATGGTTCCTCATAGGCCCATAGCTTGTTGATTGTGGCCACTGGTCCAGCAGTATTGGGGCCGTAGTACTCAGGTGAATGATGACGGATCCATAAAGGGCAGCAACAGGCCAAGATCATAAATGCGCACGTGCATGTGCATGGCCAAGCTGGGTGGCCCTCATGGCTAACTGCGGGAGGACAATTTCAAGGATTGAAGCTTTGTAAAACTTGGTATTTCATCAAGACGCATAAATCAATGATCTAGCTGAGAGAAGACAATTTGGGATGTTTCGCCAGAAAAACTGTATGTAGGTTCCCTTATGACGGGGACACCCCCAAATCATCCAAAATTAAGCCACATTTTAGTGTTGAAATCCATGGTGACTTGGGGGTCCACCATTTTAAGAAACATCCATATGTATGTATATATAATAGTATAATGTCAACCCTGGATTAATAAACCCCTAGGTTGTTTAATTGGGGGGATACCATAATAAAGTATCAGATTACCCGTAGAAATGAACATTTTGCTCCACGTACTCGCTGAGGAATTTTCAGGAGATTGGCTACTCGGCAAACGGCGGACTTGGAGCCCCAGGTAGCCCGTTAAAATGTGCATCCGCACTTAGTGGTTCAAAACCATGTAGGGTGTCGCAATTGTGTATAGGATATGTCCACTTTTGCCCAGTTAAACTATACTATGTCTATGTTTATTGATTATTGTATATGTATATATAGAAATAACTATGTGTCTATGTATATATATATATGTATACAGATGTCTTATCATCCACGCGCAAAAGTCTGATATGCACAGCCAATTTTTCAGCGGCTCATCAGCTCCTGGTCGGCTCTCCCCAGTGGCTGGACATCCCCAAACATTTGATGAAGGGTCGGAACGACCCCTAGGGGTCCCCAACAAACACAGAGATAGGATGAGATCAGATGAGATAGTCCAGATAGGTCTATTTTTTCGAAAATTGGTAGCCCAGGTCACTAAAGCAGGGCTTCACATTAATCCAGGGTGAAGATCTCCGGGAGATTGGAACACTGCTCCAAAGCGTCGAAGTCCAGGAGTGATCGTAAGTCCCCATTCAGTGGGTTATTCCATCTGTAGATACCCTCTGGTAAACTAACATAGAGAACATAGCTACGAAACACCACCATTTTTTTAAATAGGTAACTCAACTTTTTTTTTATGGACCATATTTTCAATAGCTATGTAACAGTCATTACCAGAGGGTTACAAGTGGTTATAACTCTGGTTATTAACCACTTGTATATTCAGTAGGGCGATCCTCCCTACCCTTCGGTGTCATCAAACATGGTTTGGGAAATCGTGGCCGCCACGCCGCTTTGGTTCGCTGGATTTCGTTCGCATCGAACCTGATAGCCCAATAGCTGGATAACGACCTCACTGCGACACTGCGACCTCACTGGACTAATGGTTAAGAAGGGGAATTGTCCCAAAAATATCTGGTTGGTGGTTTGGACCATTTTTTATTTTCCATAATATATGGGATAATCCTTCCCATTGACTAATATTTTTCAAGAGGGTTAAAACCACCAACCAGATATGCTCTTATTTCACGTTGGTGAATTATTATGATTTGCCCAGATAAATGGATGATGGCCGGGGGTACCCAGAAATGGATGGTTTTTATATAATGGAAAATCCTATCTAAAGATGGATGATAACTGGGGGTACCCCGATGACTTAGGGAACTTCAATATGGGAACATGTAGGAAAACCATGGAGAAGTCCTCGCAAAAAGTCTCGCTGGCAAGGTGTGCTGTGGACCCGGCTAGCGCCTCAGATGGGCCTGGAGTCAATGGCACAGTGTTTTGCTTAAAACTTACCATCTGGTTATTTAACATAGCCATGGAAAATCACCATTTTTAATAGGTAAACCCAGGTAAACCATCTATAAATGGGCCATTTTCCATGGCTATGTTAAATAACCAGAGGGTAAAACTTATAAATGGTTTAACCATAGGGTTTACAAACCAACATTCACATCACTGGGGGGCACCATCCTGTATGAATATGGGCGTGTCCTCAAAGAATATAAACCCGGAGTTTATGAATCCGTGGACACGAGGAATACTTACCCCCAACTCATCCAAACTTAGACTAGATTAGTGTTGGAACCAATTTTGTAATTAGCCGGAAACTAGTCTATTTTAGGGTATCTAAAATAAGCCATGGAAAGAGGTAGAAATTTTAGACGTGGCTGGCCAGCCGGGTCACTGCCATAGAAATTTTAGATATTTTGCATGTGAACGGAACATTCCTGTCAGAAATTATACAATTTTGGAGTAATGGGCATAGCTAGGATATTTTGATTGGACATCTACCCAACAAACTAACTAACTAGCTACCTAACTAACTAACTAGCTAACTAACTAACCAGCTAGCTAGCTAGTTAGCTAACTAACTAACTAACTAACTAACTGACTAACTAACTAACTAACTAACTAATAACTAACTAGCTAGCTAGCTAGCGAGCTAACTAAGTGTAGTTACCATAGTTACTAACCAATCTCTGGGAACTCCATTTAGTTTCATGGGATAAGTCCAAGATCCTCCAAGCATCCCATAGATATCCAAGATCATCCCACGTAGTCACTGGGGACAGTAGCCCTGGTGTCGGCTGAAGTCCCAGTATCTGTCTATAAATGCGTTATAATTAACTATGGTTACTAGCCACTTATATATATATATATATCTGTCTCTCTCTCTCTCTCTCTCCCTCTCTGTATGTATATATATATATACATACATACATACATACATACATTACATTACATTACATTACATTACATTACATTCCATTACATTACATTACATTACATTACATTACATAACATAACATAACATAACATTACATACATACATACATACATACATACATACATACATACATAGTATATGTGGCTTATCCTATCTGTCTATAAATGGGTTATAACTAGTTATAACTAACTATGATTACTAGCCACTTATATATATATATATAAATGTATATATGTATATATATCTTCAATGGGACCATCCTACGCCTGTGGCTCTCAGGTGGCTTGCGTGATTTGTCCCACGTTGTCGGGTCATTGGCTGCACCGCCCGGAAGGCTTCGCCGTGGAAAAGACACGATAATAACGGGGTAAACAGAAGTCATAAATGCTGGAAAACCGCATTTAAAGGATAATTGAATATATATATATGTATATATATATATATGTATATGGATTGTTGGGGTATATGATAATGATTTTCCCTAATGGAGATACTGTGAGATTCATCGAAACAAATCGTAACTGCTTAGTAGATGGGGTTATAGCTTATATAACCCAGTTACTGTACAATAGATAGGACAAGCCACCGAATGACGTACGATCACCAGGGTTAGTCTCACCACTTCCGATTCCTGGGATGAGCCTCCAACGGGCTGAAGATCCGCCAAAAATGCGATAACATTGGCATTAGAACTCACCAAAAATGGTGGAGATCATGACAGATAATTACATATAATTATCTAGGTCAATCGACTAGATGGGTAGAAACTAATCCTAAGTAGTCGTTTGGTATGGGATTATCTACGTTCACCAGCTAAGAATTTGTTATTTTTGGCGGGGTATCCAAGATTGGCCATGAATTACCCAGCATATTTTTTAGTGATGATCCCGAAGGTGAAAAATATCCCAATCGTCATGAAAAAAAACATACCGACCATGATGGTTTCTTAAGTCATTGGGAATCCTCAAGTCACAATAGGTTTCAATACTAAAATGATGCAAAATTGTGGATGATTTGGGGATATGCCCATTTTAGGAAACCTCCATATGGTGGATATAACAGATAAATAAGCCTCAAAGAAGATGCCGACAAGGCATTTATTCAATAATTTCTATATCGCTATGATTTTAGATTCGGATTCTACCAATTTCCCGGGGATTATGACATAACTTTACTGGTTGGTGGTTTGGAACATGAATTTTATGACTTTCCATATATTGGGGATAATCATCCCAACTGACTTTCATATTTTTCAGAGGGATTGAAACCACCAACCAGTTTAGTAAGCCGTCGCGTATTTTTCACACGGGAAGAGGGCAAAACTGGTACGGGTATTGGTGATGACCATTCCCGATAGTTGCTTCGTGGGCTGATAATCCCAGCTTTCAGCAGCTTTCGAGGCCCGCTGGGGCATACCCAGTATACTATAGGACTATAACATACCCAAGAAATGGCCATTGTGATAAATTTTTTAAGATGGAAAACGATGATAAAAACAAGTTGATGTAGGGGTAGCCTATTTTTTTTGACCAGTTGAGGACATCTTCCAGACCAGATCGAAAACAGAGATCTTTTTGTCGGTTGGATAATTCAACTCTGAGGGGATCTATCTCTATCATGATATATCTATAGTCCGGGTTTTTCTATAAGATATACCCTCTGGTTATTTAACATAGCCATGGGAAATGGCCCATTTATAGAGGCTTACCCTTTAAAAAATGGTGATTTTCCATGGCAAACTGTTAGTCATAACCAGATGGTATCTCCTTTTTCTGGTCAGGTGATACATCCCCTTTTTTGATTCGTCATACAAGCAGCATGAGGTAACTGGTGTAACTCGTCTGGGCCCTTCCAATGGTTGGGATCATCGATAGCCTCATGGGGTTTCCATGGTTAGTTTGGGTATCCCCAAACTCGCTGGATTTGGGTTTATTTCCATGGGAAAATCCGATCTATAAATGGATGATGACTGGGGGTACGGGGGTACCCCCTATTTTAGGAAACCTCCATATACATGTATATATATATATAGTTAGATGAGCTTCTAAACCAACTTACAACTGTGGGGGGATCACTTTGTCTATCAGGATCTGGATATTCAATGAAGGCTTACAAGTAGAGACATCTACAATTGATTGGATATTGTGGGGGATCAATGATCAGTCCCCGGCTTCAGCAATTACAACTCAACAACCAAAGCCGGTTACGCTGCAACCGCGGCTCAGAAACAACTGCACAGCAACCTTTAGGTTCCTTTCGCTTCAGAAACGCTCAACAACCACAATGATGATCACCTCATCGCAATACTCCATGTTTTTTGAATATCTAGCAACATCTTATCTCTCCGTCCTTGTCAGACAAGCCTATTCCCATGAGATCCATCAGCTTCCCATACGAGCGTCCTTTCGCCACCATCGCAGGCTACACCATAGCGGCAGATGATGCCCTGAAAGGGAAGGACGAGACCGGCCCTGGAGATATCACCGGCAAAATTGGATCTGATGCCATTTTTCAACATGGATTCAAGTATGCATAGCGGGATTTTTGTCACCAAGAATATGATAAATATGATATGGGATTAACTAAATGTACACTAATATCATACGAAACTGATGTGTTGCACAGTTGGATGGGGTATATATACACTCCAAACATGCGTAACTTGGAGGAACATGACAAAAAAAACCACTTAATCTGCAACGTTTTGAACAATTGGTCATCTTCTTGGGGTTTATCCATCAAGTGTGTATTATTTCATGGCTCAATGATTCGCTACTTACATGAGGGGCATGGCTTCATGGTTTCATATGGTTTCATAGCGTTCCACAAGTTGACTTCGGTATGCTTTTGATGATCAAACCTCGCCAAAGAGAACTCCGGATAGGAATAGATAGGTATCCATTTGGAGTTAATTTTCCTTCAATTACTCAATTGGGGTTGGGTCAAAACCTATGACTATCAATTTTAGTGGGATGAACATCCATAAATCCCAGCTATTTTGATGTTCACCAGGGGTACTATTGGTTTTGACACACTGCCAATTACAGAGCTTTCCCATGTTTAATGTTTTGTCACCATGTTCCGGTACATGTCCCCCGCAGCAGGTCATGGCTGCCCAATGCCACCCCAAGCATGGTAGGATGACCAATGCCATGCTATGTGCCAGGGTACATCATCGTAGCAGTTGAAGATGCCGAAATACCGTGGCGCAACCTAGACCGTATCATTTCAAAGGGAAAAACTATGATGAACAATCAACTATGGGATTTTGCTATGCCATTTTTGGGATATTTTGGGATTACGGCCTTTTTCAGGGTGATGATAAAGACCTGGATTCTGCACAACACGACCTTCGCTTCACTCTGCAGGATCATCCAACTTAGTCACTGGTTGTTGTAACCCTAGTGATGGTAAGTCCCCATTCAGTAGTTATCCCATTTTATACCCTCTGGTAAACGTTTACATAACTATGGAAAGATCCACCATTTTCAATAGCTATGTAACAGTCATTACCAGAGGGTAACTGGGTTATCCCATTAGTCATGGTGGCTCATCCCTATCCGCTACTAAGTGGGATGTAAAAAATCAGTCATAGCCCCGAATCTCTGTTGACGAATGCCAGTTGTGTTCGGTTTCATCTCCATTCTTGTTGGTCAAATCAAACTTTTTCTTGTTTTCGTCTTCATTTTGTTGGATTTATCTGCACCTTTGTTGCTTCAATATGGTTCAATGTTTCTTGGGTGCTTGAATCCAATTGTTCATGGGTAAAATGGGGTCAAGTCCGTTTTTTTGCTGCTTCACAACTCCCAACAAAACCCCTGTGTCACCCCATGTCTGGGTCCATACTTGGCTTTTTTTGGGGGTTCATGCTTTTTGAACCTCAACCATCGACATCATGAAATGGAGGGTTTCTTAAAATACTGGATCCCCCAAAGTGGTTTTCATACGAGTCGTTATGGTCCTGACTTGGATGATTTTTCTGGGGGATTTGCCATGGAGACCGACCTCTTTGGGGCCTCCAAGTCTGGTGGGATCCAGCGATCCTCACCTCGTTTCATCTGGTTTTAGAGTTTAGTGGCTTGAAGTCTTTACCCTCTGGTAAACATACAAAAAGCTATTGAAAATGGCCATAGAAATAGTGGATTTACCCAGCTATAAAATAGTGATTTTCCATAGCTATGTTAGTTTACCAGAGGGTAAACAAATTGCCATAGTATTCCCAGCTCGTGAAATTGGAGTGTGAAATTTTTTCTCAGCTCGTGAATTCCAGCGAACGTGACCCCCGTTGCAGGAGTATTTCTACCTCACTGATTTGACGGAGAGATACCAATTCCACTGGAGGTTAAGCATTTTCAGCAGCCTTGGGGAACGCGCCGGATTCATCCACGATTAACATGGTGGTGTTTCCAGAAATGATCTGGCTGGTGGTTTGGAACATGTTTTATTTTTCCATATGGGTCTGTCTGAAAATACGGTACCTCAAAATCCAATAGTTTATTATGGTTTATTATCATTTTCCTATTTAAAAAGACTATTTTACGGTATACCCCATTTTCAGACACACCCATATATTGGGAATAGTAATCCCAACTGACTAACTCATATTTTTCAGAAGGGGTAGGTCAACCACCAACCAGTGAGTGTTGGTTGATGATTTTGGTTGGGGATATTCATACTAGCCATTACTAGCCTGTATTTTGGGCATTCCAAGAATTCCACTACGTGAATGAGAACCAGGGGTTTGATCCTGTCGAGGGGATACCACAACCGAAGCCACAACCGAAACCCCACCCACAAATGCTTGATGGTTTCGGGTGATCAACGGCTGATGTTTTCTGTTAAACTAAGATGGCAATGGAAAATTGAGCAGTTATAGATGATGTATCTATCATGGTGATCTTCAGTATCTATCAGTATCTTAGTTTACCAGAGGGTAAACGGTTGAATATGGTTCAGTGGAGTTGATATAAGTGGTGGATTCACAACTATCCACACAAAGATTTGGTCTTTTTTTGCTCTTTCGGGATCCTGTTGGGTCAGGTGAAGGTCAGAAAGCAACAAGAAATCAATGAACATTTTGCAATAAGAAAACCTTTGGTAATTTACCCTCTGGTAATTTAACATAACTATGGAAAATCACAATAGAACTAGTGATTTTTCCGACCAGAGAGTAGCAATATGTAACACTTTGCGACCTGGACAATCCTCATTTTCATCACAAAAGTCATCGAATTACCCTCTGGTAAACATACAAAAACTATGGAAAATCACACTTTTTCATGGGAAAAATCACCATAAATCACCATTTTCAATAGTTATGTAACAAATTAGCAGAGGGTATTTATTATGTCATATTTGTGCGTGTCTCAAAAGCTATCACCCAAATATATATATATGGTATATATATATGGTGTATATATATATATGGTAAATATATGTATATATATATATGGCAAGTTCCATAATTTGTTAGATCTTTATACCAGAGGGTAGATCTTTATATCAGGGCTACGGCTTTTTTGCTTGGCGTGTTCACAATTCACCGACGGGGCTACTCCAAAGTCTTCGATGGAAAGTGAACATAACCAACCTATAACTGGGGCACCACCTAGTTTGGAAACTCGTTAACTAGTTAAAATAGTTAAACTCGTTAGTAGACCCGAAAAATGATTTTTTGTTTTAAGTCCCATGTTTTTTTTTCCACACAAATTCCCCCCAATTCTTCCATGTTGACCATCCCCTGCTCTCACAGGGACGTGGACAAAGATCTGTTGAGCGAAGCGGAGCAGGACACCGTGAGGAGGATGCTTGGACTTCCGGTACCGTGCAATGGATGGGTTCTACTGGGAAAGTCTTACCCGGAAACCATGGTTTTGATTCTCTTCATATGGTAAGTCTAGGCGAAAATATCGGGAACATCTTTCCTAAAACCATGGTTTAAGGAACATCTACGGGAATATACACATATATATATAGATATAGTATATATATAGTATATATATATAGATATAGTATATATATAGTATATATATATAGTATATATATAGTATATATATAGTATATATAGTATATATAGTATATATAGTATATATAGTATATGTAGTATATATAGTATATATATATAGTATATATAGTATATATATAGTATATATATAGTATATATAGTATATATAGTATATATATATAGTATATATAGTATATATAGTATATATAGTATATATAGTATATATATAGTATATATATATAGTATATATAGTATATATAGTATATATAGTATATAGTATATATAGTATATATAGTATATATAGTATATATAGTATATATATAGTATATATATAGTATATATATAGTATATATATAGTATATATATAGTATATATATAGTATATATATAGTATATATATAGTATATATAGTATATATATAATATATAGTATAGATAGTATATATAGTATATATAGTATATATAATATATAGTATATATATAATATTATATAATATTATATATTATAGATGTCCTGTCGATATTCATTAGACCAATCCAGTGAATGAATGCATCAGGCAGACAAGGAATGACTGCAACAAATTGACATCCAAATCGACTGGGATATCAAGATTAGAATGTGATATGATATGATATACTATATATACACATCCATTTTATATATATACATGTATGTGTACATGTATATTACAAAAAAACAGAATATACATTATATATACACATTGTATATATATGTACACATCCATATGTATATGTACAACCATATATATATATCCATACACTGACACAATTTGCTGGTTGAGTGCAATTTGCTGGTTGAGTGAATCCATCCCCGAATCCATCCAACAAAACAGGGATACAACCTCCGAGAATGGAAGTAAGACAGACATTTTTTGTGAAATGTCAATGACAGTCCCTGATCACAATGACAGTGAATGCAGTTTTGGACCATTAGTATGCCTAAATGGGATGGTGTTTTTCATGACCGGTTGCTTGCTGAACCCTGGACTTGTACTCCTTAGCTCATCAATTAGGGGGTTCCCCTCCACATAGTGACAATTTGTGCTACTAAAGTGGTACCACCCAATTAAACAACTAAACAACCCAGAGGTTTATTAATCCAGGGTTGACATTCAGAACCTTACGAGACATGGCAGTGCAATCCAAACCGTAAATGATGACATTACCCCCCAGATTTTCCATCACCCAACTATACCCCCCGTCACTCTTGGGTACAGCATCCCATATTGCTGGTGAAACAGACGTCATATCCACTATGTCCTATATTGGCGAAGGACCATGGTGCCAGAATCTAGAATCCTTCCCAAAGATATCCGCCACTAACATTCGCTGCAATGCGGAAAATTGCAATATTATAGTGCCATTGGCGAATACTATTGGCTAATATATGATAAATTGGCTACCATTGGCTACCACTGATACAAGTTAGTTGGCATCTTATCGTCAAAAAACACACACATTGACCGTCAGATCTGTTTTTTTTGTCATTCGGGTGCTTCTTAAAATGGGGGATCCCCAAGTCACCATGGACTTCAATACCAAGTCATGGTCTGATGATTGGGGTACCCCATCATTTTAGGAAACCTTCATTTACTCCATGAAACTGGGACATCTCCCATGAAATGTTTTGACCTGTCAAAGCCAGTGAAGTACAGCACCCCCCCGGAGATAGAAAGGGTGGACACCTGGAAATTGTGAAGAAACATCCTGGAAGATTCAGTTTTTCCGTTTTGGGATCCCCAAAAACCCTGCAACTAAGCAGACTAAGCACCTCCATGTTTCGATGCAACATCACCAGTGGTTCAATGAGATTAGGTCCTGAAGAATCCCTGAATCGGTAATCAGACAAAAAAAACCCTGGGAAATCCACATTAAATGGAAGTTTTAATGGGAAAATCATGTGTGTGTGTATATATATATAAATGAGGTATTTTCCATTGCCACGTTTGACTACCAGAGGGTAGTCCCTTAATCCATCGATCGATATGGACGATGATCACGGGGGTGAATCTACCGGGTTGTTTACCAATCGGTTGGTTCCCCCAAAAGGCGGGGGGTACCCTAAATCCATGATTGTTTCAATACAATCTTATGATTCTAAGTCAAACGTTTAAGACACATCTAAGCAAAACATGTGTGGGTTGTGTGTGTGTCTGAAAATGGAGTATACCATCAAATGGCAAGTTTTTTTTACGGTCAATTCGGTTCTACACCAACTTTTTTTTTTGGTTTTCCCAGCATTTTCAAAGCCAAATGGATTGTGTCACCCCATCCTAGGAAGGCATGGTGGAAGTCGTATTTGAAGGCACGCTGCGGGTAAAGTTTTAAACGGGGAAAACTGGACCCTCTGGTGTCATCAAACATGTAGGGAAGTCACATGGCAAAAAATAGGGGGGAATCTGGGAGAAAATCGTCTATGAATGATGGATTTTCCAGCAAACCATGTTTGATTACCAGAGGGGGACTTAAGAAAAGAGGGTTTAACCAACAATACTTACAAATTTAATCTTACTGGTTTATAGCAGCCCGAACAAGATAGAAGAGTAATGGTGATCACCATTTTGGCAGTTACTTTTCTATACTTTTTTTTTTGTCGTGTCTATCTTTTTGGGGCCTATTATGATCAAATACAAAGTGGCTTAAGAAAAATCTGGCTTGAGCCACTGAAATACGATGTCATAGGTTAATTAACCACTATTAACCATTGTTAACCATTATTAACCACTATTAGCCATGATTAACCATAGATTAACCACTATTAACCACTATTAACAAATACAACGAAGACGTAATACGATGGCGATCGCAACGGTTCACAAACGCTTCCGATGTCACTCTGACGGATCAAGGGCGATGGTTGGATTCTAGAAGATCATCAGATTTTGCCCACCATTTTGGAGGTTTCCTGAAATATAGATGTGTGTATATATATAGATAGATAGATAGATAGATAGATAGATAGATAGATAGATATATATATATATATGGAGGTTTCCGATTCGTCATGGGGCTACCTCCAGTGATCCATTTTTCAAAAGATGGGAGAAAATCCATGAAATTTTGCCCATCCTTTGTTATCGCTTGGGGATAACCCACCATGCAAGCGCCCATATCTTGATGCTTTATCCTGTCACTGCGTTTCGTTATCACCGGACTCCCGGGTTTGGCCAAATGTCTGGAAACTTTTATCCAATGGGACTCTCATCTCCAACAACTCCAAAACTCAATGGCCATCCAACCGAAAAACCGACAAAAATATGGAGGTACCAATCCCATATATTTAAGGCCTTTTTTTCAGGCTTATCTCATCTCCATCCATTTTTAAGGCCTTTTTTTCAGGCCTAAATTTCAGGGGATACGTCAAGAGATGGCTTTAAAAAAAGGTACCGTACCTCTGAGGATCCCAAAAACAAACATTCCTGGTGCTTCGATGCCAAGAATCCACAGAAAAAGATGATACGCCAAGGATGGTGCCCCCCAAACGGGTGATGTGAATGTTTATAAATTCCATGTTTATCTATGGTAAAAATGGTGGATATTTCACGCACTAGTATTATACTAGTGCGTGAAATATATACACCATTTGTATACCATAGAATTCATTCAGCCACTTTTTTTTGGGGGGCAATTTTGTTTGCATCACCATCTGGTTGGTGATGACTGGAACCATGGAATTTTATGACTTTTCATTCAGAGGGGTAGGTAGGTATACCACCAACCAGCCATTTGTAGGTTTAGTCTCTGGTAATTTGTTACAGTTTGCTATTGAAAATAACCCATTTATGAATTTTCCCATGAATTGTATGGTTTTTTGTATGTTTACCAGGTCGGGTAAACTCTGGTAATCTAAGAATCGATGGGGCTGTGCCATCCATTTTTTTTTGCGTTCCTTTTCCTTGGGGATGGGAATCGTTTAAGGCTTCATCAGCATATTCGAGAATCTATGGTGAATGACAAGTGATTGATGGTAATGGAACAAAACTATACAACACTTAGTTAAGGCTTAGTTGATGTTGATAGTTGATTCACTATTGCTAGCGACCAATAATGTGAGGCCGTAGACGCGATTTTTTCGAGGCTTGATTCCGAACTCTGCGATGGCTTGTTGCTAGGGTGATATCACTTTTGTTTTTATATCACCTAGTTAAACGGTAGAAAAATGACACCTAGTTATAAATACCTAGTTTTATATCATAAACCAAGGAGCTTTGTCTGATGTTTATAACATCAAAACTGGGGTTACCTTCTGGTAATTTAACATAGCTATTGAAAATGGCAATTTATAGCTGATTTTCCCATAAAATGGTGGTTTTCTATAGTTTTTTGTATGTTTACCAGAGGGTTATCCCTCACCTCGTAGCTTTCAACGCCGTAGATGTGGATGGCAGGCCCACACTGAGCTTGAGAATTGCTTGGACTTGGTGCCCAGGTGCCCCGAGGAGATTGCGGAATGAGTTGAAACAGCGACGACACAGATACCCATTGAATTTGACCAATATATATATATGTATATATATAATTAATACAAACTATATAATATATAATGTAATGTAATGTAATGTAATATAATATAATATAATATAATATAATATGGAATATATATATATAATATAATATAATATAATATAATATAATATAATACAATATAATATAATATAATATAATACAATATAATATAATATAATATAATACAATATAATATAATATAATACAATATAATATAATATAATACAATATAATATAATATGATATGATATAATATAATATATGGGGGATGAGCCATGATAACTCCCTGTTTTGTGGCTTGTGTCTGAAAATACTGAACAACGCATCCACTGGTCTATCACCTATCACCTGATGATTTTCCTTTGATATACTGTAGCCTCTGGTAAACGTTTACATAGCGAACTGGAAAATCACCATCTTTACGCTCCTAAATCAGCTATTTCTATGGGCCATTTTCTATGTCGCAAACTCTTAAATTACCAGAGGGTATATTGCCATATTTGGGGGGTTATTCACATCCGTTTGCCAGCTATTTCGGGGTTAGGGTACCAGGGTTTTGACTCACACTAAACATCATATCTTAAACGTTTGGTTACCCTTTGGTTATTTAACATAGCCATGGTATAGATGGCCCATAGAAATAGATGATTTTCCCAGCTAGAAACCTCCATTTATGAGGGATTTTCCATGGCTATGTTAGTCATAACCAGATGGTACCATCGAATTTATTGGGATCTGGGAATTCACCATCAACTAGCCATGGAGCTTTCGTTCGCAAAATCATGGGTTACTACTGCCTATTTGCCCATAGAAATAGTGGATTTACCCATTGATAGCATGGTGATTTTCCCATCAGTTTTTTGTAAACGTTTACCAGGTCGGGTAAATGGTGGATTTTCATCGCCATGTTTGAGTACCAGAGGGTAAGTATAGAATAGTATAGATATCTGTTATGGAATACGAGGACATCGTACACGTAAGTACGATTATGCCCTCCGGTAATTTGACATGGCTGGAAATTCCAAAGTCTTACTGGAAAAACATGGGATAATCGTCGAAGTAAATGAGTGATTTTCTATGCCAAGTAAAGCTACTTGCAGACACTTGGGGCTGCAGTTTCACCATCGAGGCGAATGTTTTTCCCAACTTTTAGTGGTGATTTTGAGTATACCCTCAATGGCCATTTCAGGAACCTAAATTGGAGGTACCTACCATACATAAGGCCTATATAAGGCCTATGTAAGGGGATATCCCTAGAAAATATGGCCTTATATGGTATAGTATCTCCATTTTAGGATTTTGAAATTCCTATTGATACCCATAAACATAACCCGCTGGAGGTGTTTTGACCAGAAAACCATCCCATAAAGGGAATATCACACAATTTCCATAGTTTCATCCCATAGTTTCGAAGAAGCATCCCATACAAATCCCAATTGTTTTCCATAATAACCCAAAATTTTTCCAATAATCGTATAGTAACCCAGAGATTTTTTCCATGTTTAAGTCAGCCTGCGAGGAATGTGAGCTGGTGTTGCAGGCACTGGGCTGGGGGGTTAACCATCTAAAATATTCTAAAATCACTACTGAGTTAAGCACAGTTTAAGCATCTTGGACCTCTTTTTTTATGTTTCATGAAGTTTTCAAGGACTAGTTCTTGTTGGATGGTGCCCCATTGACGCGCCATTTTCAAGGCCAGTTTTGCTGACACAAAAAAGTGATTTTTACGCCCCATTGGTCCCAAAGATCTCACCAACATGGACATTCCAGCCACACCTGGAGATATGTCCCATGATGACCTTGGAAAAATGTCAATGGATTGGTTTTGAAAGGGAACATCTTCACCGGAAACCCATGATTCCCTGTTTTTTTTTACCAAGAATTTCGGGATTTTCTGCAGATTTACCCTGATTTTCCAATCCAAAACGACCGAGTTTTTTGGTCCCAACGATTTGGACATCCCCACATCCAGAATAGTTTTTTGTTGCCTGGAACAGACCGGGCTTGGGGGAAGGGATTAGCTCGGTTTCCATTTTAAGAGGAATTTCCCATTCTGGCACTGCCATGGGGATTGTGGGGAGGCATAGACGGGAAATAACGGGAATCTGGTGGGATATTCCGGGACACCTTGGATGTCGATTTATAACTCACCATGTTAAATTGGACCACCACCCCAATTCTTTGATTTAATTGGATGTCTGGTTGGTGGTTTCAAGCATGAATGTTATTTTCCATTTCATATATGGGATGTCATCTTTCCCATTGACGAACTCATATTTTTCAAGATGGTTGAAACCACCAACCAGTAGTGGTGAATGATTATTGGGGATTAAATATATATATATATACATATATCTGGTTGGTGGTTTGGAACATTTTTTATTTTCCCCAATAGTTGGGATGAAACCACCAACCAGATTATTATTAACCATCATTAACCATATAATAACCATATATTATCCATATATTAACCAATATTAACAGTATATTAACCAACCAGCATAAATTCTGGTCATTTCGGAAGCTGTCTGTTCGTTGTTCGTTGTTCGCCAAAAGTAGGTCGAATTTCGAGGGCGGAAGGCAGGGCGGAAGGGCAAAGTGACAGATTTCCTAATTCAGCCTAGACACTTCTTAGTTGAATAATATATGAATTATATTGGATTGTACTATATCTCCATGTTAGTTATATATCCCATTAAAAAAAAAAGACATACTACATTATTCTGGTTGGTGGTTTCAAACATGAATTTTATTTTCCATAATATATGGGATGTCATCCTTCCCATTGACTAATATTTTTCAGAGGGGTGGCTCAACCACCAACCAGCTTATTAGTTGAATAATATATGAAGTTCATATTTCCAATATCCTACGTCTTATTTTTTCATAAGTGTCTAAATGAAATTAATAAGTTGACTTTTGATATTGGTCAGTCTTTCAGGAACCATTATCGCGGTTGCTTCATAGATGTTGTACCATAGAAATGGGGATAGCCATCAGCTTCGGTGGCCGTGGTCAGCTTCACAGTGGTTGTTCGAATTCCACACTCGCTTTCAGGAGGAAACAGGACTTCGGGGGTGCAGTTTTTTAACCAAGCGGCTATATAACCATAGTTATATGGGTTATATCATGTTATATCGCAACTCTTGAAGCTTAAAATCCGATGGCTGTCGGCAGTTATAAAATAGCCATGATAGCCAGAATCCCTGGCCTGTGTCTCCCCCATGACCAAGGCATGTCATGGATGGTCAACTAGGATTATAAGCCATTTACAAATGGGCCAATGTGGGTAAAACAACGTCATTTGCACCACCCATTTTCCTGGAGAATGGTGATAAAAATGGATGGTTTATATATTTTTATAATTTTTATAGAAACCATTCCCAATGAAAATTCCCAAGGCATGTCATGGATGGTAATCAACTAGGATTAAAGACCATTTTCCTGGGAATGGTTTTTAACAAAACACCTATAAAAATGCTGATGTTCATCCGGGGGATGGTTCGGTTTATGGTTCGCGTGACGCGTGCGTTGATGGCAGCCAGTTTTACGATGGAATCCACTGCATCGATGACCGTGAGCCCTGAGTCGTTGATGGTTACCCTCTGGTAATTTAACATAGCTATTGAAAATGGCCATAGAAATAGTGGATTTACCCATGAAAAATGGTGATTTTCCATAGTTATGTTAGTTTACCAGAGGGTAGATGACCGAATCCTTTGCTTTATCCAGGTATTTGTTTGACCATTTTATACCATGGAGATCCATGGATCATTTTTTCTAAGCATTGTGATAGCAGTTTGTTTCAATTTTTTAGACAGCACCACAATACTGAACGTGAATTCCACATTTTTGGATAAAGCTTTCATAGTATGTTCATCATTTCCCACATTTGTCACAGATTCGTATGATGGGAACAATTACAGGAAACCAATATGATTGATTGTAAAAACATGTACACACCATATTCTGCGGATTTTCTCTACACAAATCCCTTGGTGAATTATCATGCAGCCAGATAAAGTGGTTAAAATACCCCCACGGACTATAGATATCTATAGATATCTACCATAAACTTCACCATTTTCCCACATTTTCCCACATTTTCCCACATTTTCCCACATTTTCCCACATTTCCCACATTTTCCCACATTTTCCCACATTTTCCCAGATGTTTCTTGGTGAAGTCTCCGTTGTTTTTGAGGCGCATCCACTGCATCGCCGCGCTCAAAAAAAGAGACAGGCGACAAAGAGGCGCGCTTGCTTTTAGCGATGAAGAAAACATGGGATTAAAAGAAGTGGTTGGTGGTTTCAACCATTTTAACTACGGTTAACTATGATTATAAATGGCTTACCGTATTAACTTTAACTATGGTTATAGCTATGATTATAAATGGCTTATTAACTATAACTATGGTTAACTATGATTATAAATGGCTTATAACTTATAACTATGGTTATTAACCACTTATCTGGTTGGTGGTTTGGAACATGGCTGGATTATTTTCCCCAATAGTTGGGATGATGATCCAATCTGACTTTCATATTTTTCAGGGGGGTTAAAACCACCAACCAGCTAAACATGGGCCGTTGACTATGGTGAAAAAGTTCATGAAAATTCCATGATGTTCCAGCTTTTTGTTCTTCATTTTCCAGCCAAAATGGGATTTCACCATGAACTATGGTGGAAAATCATGAACCGTTAAAATTAAAGACCAGGTGAAGGTGATTTTGAATCTAAATGAAGTGCTTGTGAAAATCCCTCGCGTGAAAATGGCTGGGAAAGTTCTTGGGGCCCGGGGTCAATGATGAGTCGGGATTCATGATCCACCATGGGAATCCATATCAACCAATGATTCGGTCAAGTGGATGATATGTTTGGTAACCCCCCAACCCTAGGATTGGGATGGTCAATCCCTTGCTGTGGAAGGTTAAAGGTGCCTTGGCTTTGTATATGTTCTGTCAGCGTTTTGTAGCTTTGGTATGCTAAAGTGCAGCTGCAGCATATAGGGCAGGGTAATAAGCGGATAAGCCCCGACCTCTTTCCCATTCATAGGTATCCGGTATCCGCATCATGATTTAATCCCTAGTCTTTACTATCAGCTATCCCAAGTACCTAACATATTGCTAGTGATAATTTGAACATCCATCTTTTGGTGCAATCGCCTACCCTCTGGTAATTTAACATAGCTATAGAAAATCACCATTTTTAATGGGTAAATCCACTATAAATTGCCATTTTCAATAGCAAACTGTTAGTTTACCAGAGGGTAAACAGCATCCGAGGGCCACATAGTACCTCAAAACAGTGTACTGCTCGATTTCCTCCGCTCGATTTCGCAGGGTGCACCGCAAAAGAGGCGGGCACCGCAGTTGGTCTTGATGTTCCCAACGCCAAGTGATAGGTTGATCAACAACCAAAATCAACAACCAATACTACGTATTTCAACCGGCAGAGTGATTTCACGGGCATGTTTTTGATCATTTGATTTCAGAAGCACGATTAATCAACGTTATGATTTATATAAGTACCTAACATCATCTAACATGGCTTTAGAAAGTAGAAATACGGGTATAACGGCATAACAACAACAGTGTGCAAATGTATTTCTGAGGTAAGCTCAATAATAAACCATCTCCAATTTGGCTTTATGAACTTAGGTATACCCCTAACAGCCATGGGATGTTTAAACGGACCCCGTGATGGATGCTTACTAGGATGAGTTGTGGCTTACCGAATTTACCGCAGAAAAACCTGCTTGGTGGTTTGTGTTAATCCCAAAAATATGCTCGTCATCTCAACCAATTACCTTCTGGTAAACTAACAGTTTGCTATTGAAAATGGCCATAAAAATAGTTGATTTGCCTGTTAAACATGGTGAGTTTCCATAGTTCTGTGAAATTACCAGAGGGTATCCCAATATTTTCCCATTATCCATACATTTTTAGTAGGTAAATCAACTATAAATGTAGTTACTTTAGTCATTACCAGAGGGTATCCCAAAATTGTATTGCTTTTCAGCCGCCCAGATCCCCTCTGGTGTCATCAACCGTGGCAAGCAATTGCAAATCCCCGTGGCAAATGCTGGGAGGTTTCGTTCGCTGGGATGAACAATGAACGTCACGTTTGATGACACCGGAGGGGATTTGTAGGTTGTCTACCCCTCTGGGATACCCTCTGGTAATGACTAGAGTAACTATAACTATGGAAAATGACCATTTACAGTTGATTTACCTACTAAAGATGTATGGATAATGGGAAAATATTGGGATACCCTCTGGTAATTTCACAGAACTATGGAAACTCACCATGTTTAACAGGCAAATCATCTATAAATTGGGCAAAGGTCCATAGCTATGTTAGTTTACTGGTGGGTAATTTAATCACTGATACTTGCATAATGGGGATAACAAACTCCCAATAATCATTCAATTGGACAATTAATCCCATACCATCATCCCAGTCTTTGTTCCCACAATCTCACAATATAATCCCATTTTTAATCCTATTGTTAACATTGTAATCTCATCATAATCCCATTATTAATCCCATTGTAATCCCATTATTAATCCCATTATTCAATTGGATAATTTATAACCTTTTTGGTTAACCTTTAAAAAGTCGTGATTTTGGTAGAAAGTGCCGTAGCAATTTCTACCATTCTTGACATTACTAGTCATTATTGTCCATAATCAACCATTTTTAACCTTCTCTATGAACATGTCACTGAATGTTAACAATACCAACTACTACTAACCATCATTAATCATCATTGGCCATTACCTATCAACTATGACATGCATAATGGGATGTGATACGAACAGCACGGACCATCATGGCTCAGATGTCTGCAGACAGCGGCCCTGTCGCCCTGTCGGGAAATTCTTGAGGTTTCTTGGTTTCTGGATGAGAAAATAGCAGGAAAATCACCGGAACATGTGGGAATCGAACTGAAATTGGGGGATTTTCCAGCTGAAAGAGGTGTGCGAATCTGAGGCTTCCGTAGGTGAAGTATAGCAAGCTCAGCCAGTGATAGTAAGCTGGGTAGGCTGGCTGTTTCAGGGTGAATTCTTCGAGCCATGGTTTTTCCAGTCGAGTGATGGGATGGCTTCACATCGTCGTTTTTATGGAGTTGCTCTACTACTAACCATGATATTTTGGAGGATTTTAACATCAAAATCCACCTACTCACATATAGTAGCAGATGGACCGTCGAAATGAGTCCTGATGTGTCCTGCATCTCTTACAAACAACTACACGCATGGAAGCAGAAACGGCAGTTTCAGATTTTAGAAAATCATTCCCCAGGCCACGTTTTCGACGTTTCATTTTAGTCTTCAGGACGGCAATAACTGGACATTTATAGGGATGTGCCCCAACTACTTTAAAACCATTGACGCCCAAGAGGAAAGCGAAGCTTCAAATTGTATACCAATATTCCAGTGGAATAAAAACCCTCAGGTGATTTAACGTAACGATTTGCGCAATTCTTATTTAAAACTGGTATATGACCTTTGAATGGCCCAGTTGCCATGGCAATATATATATATAAATACATATATATATATATATGTATATGCGCATTGTACCACTATTGTTGGGTTGAATCGTTGAATCCCTATGAAAATTAAAGAAACATGGTGAAAAATAAACCACAAATTTCATCATGGGTTCAATGCCAGTAAATTAACTTGTTGACCCTGAAAATGACCAATTTATAGTGGTTTCACTAGTCTTCCAACCCCTACAGTATCTGGCAGGGTCGAACTGTTAATCTACTGGAGGGTAATTTCACATACATAGCTACGGAAAACGACGTTTTTATAACCCGAGGGAAAACAATAGAATCTGAAAACCATCATTGGCAATGGAGCATCCTCCATTGAACATGATAATTCTCCCATGATATTTCCTTTTTTAAACATGGATTTCCCCGCTTGCCATGTTTGATGACACCGGAGAGTATATATATATATATAGAGCATTATCGCATGATTATTCCACTAATCTCCAATTATTATCCCATTACTATCCGTATTAAACAATATATATATATACATTGTTATTATCCTATTATTTTCCCATTATCATCCCATGATTATCACATTATTATCCAATTATTATCACACATTATTATCCCATTATTATCACATTATTATCCCGTTATTATCCTTGTTAGACATTGTTAGACCATATTTATAGATGATTTACGTATTTATATCATTATTTTCCATAGCTACGTTAAACTACAAAAGGGTACTATATATACTTGATCTTAGCCATCAACGGAAAACCCTCCATTGGTCCATTGAGCATGATGATTTTCCCATGCATTTCCCTATTAAATCCCAGTAGAATCCATGAAATCCACATTTGGCCATGGATCACTAGCTATAAATAGCATTTAAGGGGTTGAACATCCACAACAACAAGCTATTTTCATTTTGATGTTCACAGAAGGGGTACTCTCTTTGACTTCACCCATCGATGAGATGATGATTTTCGGGATTCGCCCATCAGAATTCCCTCTGAAATCCCATGAGAATCCATGAAATCCCAATGTAGTTGATCTTGAAAACCATCAGTGGATGTTTTTTTTTTTTCCGGGAAACAACTGTACACAAAAAAAGCCATATTTTTTTTTTGATGGGAAAAATCCATGATGGTTTCCGGTCGATTTTTTCCTGAAATCGATCCATTTTTTATCGGGAGGCATCAGCGATGTTCCAAGTGTGGAGCCGCTTGAGACTGTGCCATGGCGCTGTTTTGTTGGGTTCTGTCACAGTTCGTATGTCTTGGTGAGTAAAAATGGGAGTTTAATGGGATTTCATGGGACTTTGTTGGGAGTTTAATGGGAGTTTAATGAGAGTTTAATGGGATTCAATGGGTTTTAAATAAGTATAGCACACCCAAAGTAGCGATTTTTCCTGAGGTTCAACGGGATTTATCCAACAAATGGTGATTCAATCGGGTTTTTCATGGGATCTAACTCTAGCAACCCCCAAATAGAAAAGTTGGAAACCTGGTAATATGAAGTACATGTAATCGAGCCCACATCCTGGAAACTCTTTCGGGCATCTTTTTGGTGTTGCTACAATGTGCGTTTGATATGAACATTGGGAGTTTAATATTTAAAATAGTGGCAATGCATTTATATGACTTAATATTTAAGTTGCTGATTTTCAATATATTTACGTTGGTTTTATGGTGGGCGAATACGATAGTAATGGTTGGTAGTCGCCCCATTTCACATCCACTATTAACACTACTCGTAATATGGTTAGGCACACTTTCGTAGTCTCTTCCCCCCAACCACCAAAAGTTGTGTTTTTTTTCATGGCTTAGCCATCTTGAAATGGGGATATGCTGAAGTATATAGCCAATACCTGGTTGGTGGTTTCAAATGAATTTTATTTTCCATTTCATATATGGGATGTCATCTTTCCCATTGACGAACTCCATGATTTTTCAAGATGGTAGGTCAACCACCAACCAGATTCATTATTAACCATCATTAACCATATAATAATCATATATTAACCATATATTAGCCATATAATAACCCTATTAGTATTAACCATCATCCCAAGTGACGAACTCACTCCATGATTTTTCAGAGGGCTAGGCGAAAAACCACCAACGATACCCACGAAATCCAATGCATTCCACCAACCTCGTCGCTGGAGTATGGTGATCTTTAAAGAATTGGCGGAATGGACATGGGTTATCCACAGGTTATATATATGGGTTATATGGGTGAAAAATATCCCGTATAACCATATAATAAATGAATAGTAAATAATTTATTATCCATATAATAATTATCCCGTATAACCATATAATAACTTCATGGAATATAGGACTATCCATTATCCCGTATACTATTGGAATTTACTTCATGGCATAGTAAATGTCGAATAGGACGCGCCACTGGACTAGGTGATCATGAAACCCACAGGACCCACGAATTGTGCCATTCGTTGAAACGACACAGTTCCGGGGGCACACTTTTGCCGGGAGGAATAGAACTTTTGAACCATCAATGTGATCAAACCCCAATTAGGCACAATATCATATAACATCATCGATAGAGATTTGATATTTGCGAAGTATTCATATTCAAGACATGAAGAGATATAGGGAACGTATTGTAAGTATAGCTACAATAGGAGGCACATATTTCATGACTAGATATGATATATCATCAACCAGATTGCACACACACCTTCATATCTACAAAAGTCAACAATTGACACAAGTTGCCATGTATAGTATGGCACGGGTGTGTTGAAGGATATGATATAGCCATGGCTGTAATTTCATAACTTTATTTGGTTGGTTTAAGGGGGCTTTTACCGGGAACCATGGTTTTCCGAGTGCATTTTCTGGGGGTTGTGCACATTTTCCTTTCATCCAATTGAGAATGAACATGATAAACCAAAACGATTGATAAATTAGATATATACAAGAAGATAGATCAACAACAAATGAGATTGCGGAAATGATATGAATTCAGTCGTTTCACATACAGTATCCCCACGAGATACCCATTGATTGTTGGTTTTACCACTATTATTTTGATGCTTCAACTTAAAACCAAATCATGAAATGGATCCCACAATATCTCGCATTGTTTTCATCAATAATAGGCGACTATCATAACTGCTTGGTGGTTTGGAACATTTTTTTATTTTCCACAATATATGGAATAATCATCCCAACTGACGAACTCATATTTTTCAGAAGGGGTAGGTCAACCACCAACCAGATTATTATTAACCATCATTAACCATATAATAACGATATAATAACCATATAATAACCATATAATAACCATATAATAACCATATATTAACCATATAATAGGCGATTATCATAATATTACACAGTAACTTATGAGGGTAAGAGTGACATAGTCATAACTCCAGACAACAGTGTTTACTACAATATATGTCTCACAATGTCCCGTTATATCGCCAGTAATCGTTGCTCATACCTTTGTTTTAACTCCCGTTCATGTATTGTCTATTAAATACATCCCAGCAGAACTAATAGAAATTACAGACACACATGTCGGTTTTAACGGAGAAACTGGTCATCATCCAGTGGATTTAGGTTTTTTTCACTAATTTCCAGCAGACCCATAGTCGATATAACAGCTGTGTGTTCACAGCTATTTAAGTGACTAAATCCGTGAAACAATGAGCTCGAATCTCGGATCATTCCAAGGACGATTTGAAGTTATAACTGATGATGATAAATCACTATATCCCACTTATAATCCATTAGTATATAAATATAGTTAACTAATCCATATCACTATAGTTAATCCATTTATAATCCACTTATAATCCATTTATAATCCACATCACTGGTGAAGAAAACTCCATGGCCCATCTAAGTAGTCTCAACTCGCCGATGAATTCTTTGCGAGGCCGTTTTGTCGGAGCCATCCCTGTCGCCGGAGCCGGTGGAGGTGGCCGATGGTGGAGCCGATCGCTTGGAGGAGCCGAAACAATGACAAAAATGATATTATTGTCTATCATAATAGTTATTGTCATTATGTCATTATCTAATAATAGTTATCATTATGTCATAACAAAATGTCATTATAGTTTGTTCATAATGTCATTATCATTATCATAATAGTTATCTATATATGTCTATCTATATAGATAGTTGAGTTGAGTAATATCAGTTATAATAGTTGAGTAATGACACTATGGAAACTGATGATGATAATAAAATACTCAATAAGATATTAATAAACGATAATAATGTAGTTATCTAATGATCATAATGATAATAAATGATAAAATAATGACGATGATACTTAAATATAATGGTAAATGATCCTTAATATATGATAATGATAAATGATCCTGCTTGGATGATAAATGATAATGATGCAACTTAAATATGATAATGATACTTCATAATGATAATAATAGTGATGATGATAATGATAAATGATAAACATGATAATGATAAAATGATACTTAGAAATAACTGACAAACATGATCATGGTGATAACACCTCTTAAAAATGCTGAATTTCTATTCACGTACTGGGTGTACGTGAAATAACCAGAGGGCAACTAGGGAATGATGATTAGTGCTAGTAAAGCAATGTCAGAAACCAGCCATATAAATTGATGGTGTATACCACCCATGAAAAAATGGGGGATGGTTTATTATTGCTCTACTAACATTAGTTATTGTTAATTCATGATGATTTTATGACGCGTCAATCCAGAACGAGTTCACGATGGTAATAACATTTATTTGTTTTTTTGATCAGTAATCAATACCTGACCTTGTTTATGTCCTGGTCTTTGATGTGATATTCATGGCATGTGATGGGGGTATCATGGGTTAACAATTGTTGATATCGGTTTATGTTTGTTAATAAGTGTGGATTTTGCCAACCATGGTCTATGTGGTCTATGAGGATCTATCGGAAGTGATATCTACCAAGGAATTTACCAATGATTTACCCAGCAAAGATGGTGGTTTAACTAGCTAAATATGGGGGTTAGTCCTGCTGCCGTGTCAATGGTTGATAATGGGGATACAATGGGTTCATAATGGTTTGTACGTATGGATCTGCCTATTCTCAGCCAAAACGAGTTAGTCTCTATCAGAGCTGGAGTGCGGTTTGCGGGAAGGCACTTGGTCTGGGTTAAGCAAGGAAGCAGCTTCTGCGTTTCGTATACCCGACGGGGCATTGAAACTTTCTGCCACGTGTGGGATGGTACACGAGCAGTGTCAACTGGCAGGACTGACACGGAGTGTTGGTGAACTACTTCTATCATGGACATCAACCTACCCGCTACACGCCTTACATTGCATGGTGTCGCATGGTCTTCTGAGCTGCGGATCACAATCTTTGCATCGAGTGTTCATTGATTTATTCTGTCAATGCCTGGTTGCGTCACCACTCATATGCTGAAGTTCATTCTCCGTTCGTCTACGGATGGGGACTGGAAATGTACCCTCTGGTTGTTTAACATAGCCATGGAAACTGGCCCATTTAAAGATAGTTTACCCGGTTTACCCATTAATCATGGTGATTTTCCATGGCTATGTTAAATAACCAGATGGTACTTAAACTGGAGGCACCTATTTCCATAGGCCAGAGGCTACGTCAGTTCACCTTGATTCCTTGATACGCCCGATTGCTTAGCACGGATGTCCCTATCAATACATGGTCCGTCGATAAGCCTATTTTTGATGTAGAATTCACAGATGATGCACTTCTTGTTGGGATTACTACATCTGAAATCAAAGCAATGATTCAGGCCCTAGAGACCGAAACTAAATTCTATGCTTTGACCCTCAACCGCTCGAAAAGTGAAAATTTGGCGTCCCCGTCCCAATCGGACCTCGCGGCACATCAGTCACTACACAATCGAATGTCCATGGTCTCAGTTCATTTGTTCATTGCGTTCCAATCATTTCAAAGCTACAGCTGCTACTTTAGGTTGCTTCGCAGTGGGGTCTTAAAGCGGCTTTTATCTCTAGAGTTTCTAATCTTCAAGTATTGGATAAAAGGATGTATTCCATCATTTGGGAAAGTGGGCATATCATCCCAAAATCCGAGATACCATGAGGAGATCATTAGAATGGTCTTAAGTTATCAATCAGAATGGACTTTGTCGGATAGAAGTATGATAAATGGATATACAAGCCTCAAAAACAGGGGTTAAGCAGCAAGGATTGGAATAGATTAGATAGTTGACTGATTAAAACAAAGCTGCTAACTCCATGTAACTCGCAGTTTCCTGGTACACACACAAATACACACCATTTACCCTCTGGTTATTTAACATAGCCATGGAAAATGGCCCATAGAAATAGATGGTTTACCTATTAAACATGGTGATTTTCCATGGCTATGTCAGTCATAACCAGATGGTAATGGTCCCACATATGTCACATATGTCGTGGTTTTTCATGGCGTCCCATCCCATGAGATTCGATCGCCAGGTCCCACAGGTCCCGAAAAAGAAGTTCCGGAAGGCGGGATGCGACCGTTGGGCCAGATTTCGAATGGAACATCCGAAGATTTTCAATGGGTAATAACTGGGGGTACCCCCATGACTCAGGAAACCTCCATATATATATATATATATCTGGGTAAATTATAACGACCTCACTGCGACCTCACTATAATCATAGTTAGTAAGGGAAATCATCCCCAAGATAGCCTTATTTCAGGTTCGTGAAATATTATAATTTACCCAGATATATGACACTTGGGGATGCAGACCAGCTAATGACAATTACAAAAACATGAATTTAAATGGGGGCATACCTCAGTTATACGGATAACCGTGGAGCCTCACCATGATGTGGAGCAAACTTGAATTTGTTCATGGTTCGTCCGGGCCCAGTTTAAGCCATGTTTCGACTGGTTGGTCAAGAACGGGATTCCCTTAAGGGATGATGATCATTTCATATCATTTCCAATCAACCAGGTAGTGATTTAACAGTTTGCTATTGAACATGGCACATTTATAGTTTATTTGCCTATTAAAGATTGTTGATTTCCATAGTTATGTTAGTTTAGCAGAGGGTAATCCCCGAATAACGACCATTTCGGGCCGGGACATTTTACTTCCCACTTGTTGTTCCTGGACAATTGAAATGCAGTCAAGCTTGGGCTGCGGCCACTGACTTCTAAGTAGGTTTATCAATTCACTAGCTATAGTTGTATCCCCCTAATTAACCTTAGTTAAGCAATTGAAAAACAAACTTAGCTATTGAAAATTGCCTATTTATGGTTGATTTACCTATTAAAAATGTGGTGATATTCCATGGTTTTTTGTATGTTTACCAGAGGGTAAGCAGTTTTTCAAAACCAACAAGCAGCTTAGTAGTCCATGATTAATTCCGTTCCCATCTCGGTTTCAAATCATGAATTCTTGGGATTTCGGCTTAATCTCTGGGCCCAGATGATCTGCGCCATGGCCATGGTCCCCCAATGGCGTCGGCCAGGTGCTGTCCAAAGTTCGACGGCGCGGCGTCAAGAAAGGTCTCCGGAAGCCGGGACCGAGGCGATGGCGGCGACGGTTTGCCATAGAAAGATCCACCATGCTATTATATAATAGGTAAAGCATCTATAAATAGGCCATTTATTTAGGTATAGATGGTCCATTTATAGATGATGTTCCCAGCTAGAAACCTCCATTTATCAGGGATTTTCCATAGCTATGTTAAATAACCAAATGGTATACCCCAGACTTGTACAGGAAAAGTGATGATGAAATCCCATGAAATGTTGAATTTGAGACGGGGTAGTTTCAGACAAACCTGGGGAATTTCTCCAAACAATGGCTCCATCAACGAGGACTGGAATGTAAGCAGGAAATCTTTGGTGCTTAACCAAGAAACAAATGGAATTGAAGCAACATAAATACTGTAAGTGCTTTGACCTGTGCAGATCGAGATTATGATTACGATTTTTTGCGGAATTTTGAGTACGAATCTTGGACATGACTATGGAAAATCACCATTTTAATGGGAAAACTCACTATAAATGGCCATCTTCAATAGCAAACTGTTATTACCAGAGGGTAAGGGTGATAGAAGACCAGTTCTTATCCAACGCACCTGGGAAAACTGAAATTTCGACCTCGCAACCGACCTCTCAACGGTCCGTCGGGGTTCGTAGGGGACATCATCTTCAAAGTACCCTCTGGTAAACTAACAGTTTGCTATTGAACATGGCCATTTATAGTTGATTTACCCAGTAATAAGTGTGATTTTCCATAGTTATGTTAGTTTACCAGAGGGTAGCTAAAATGGTGACCTGTGATATTATTAGGCAGACAGATGGTTCAGAGCAACAAACGATGGTGACTGTGCGGTATGCAGAAGTATATGGTGACTGTTCAGAAATGGGGAGAATGTTCTCGAAAATCTCAAGTTCAAAAGTCGAAGATTATAGTCTCAATAATTGCAATTATTGTAGTATAAAGAAGCTATTGTACTACAGATTAGCTATCTCAATCTATTGATTTTTGGTCCCTTTTTTTTGAAAACATACCAAGCTGGCACAAAAATCGCTGGTTGTTTTCCCAGCAGGGTAGTGAAAAGAGTTGGATGGAGCCCAGGTGTAGTCAGGGGGGCGAAAACAGGGGTAAACTACAGGGTGGGGCCCCCAAGATAGCGTTCAGTTGGTTTATAAGTGGCTCAACAATGGTTTATGGTAGATATAACTATATTTAATGGGGATTATTTCATGGTTTATAAACCAACTTATAACTGGGGGGCCCATCCTGTAACATCGATGCGGAAGCCAATTTATCCAATTTATAGATGATTTACCAATAAAACATGTGAATATCAACATCTATGTTAGTTTACAGAAGGGAAACCTGGATGTTTTGAATTGAACATCCTATTGGAAACCTCCAACTGACGTCCAGGGTTTATGGTAATGTGGTAAACCCAATGATCAACTTCCAATGTCGAGGCTTTATACCACCCATTTCTGGCGATATTGGCGATGGTTATTATTGAGTTTACCACATTAGATGTATTGAACTAAATTCATGGGGTTTACCAACATAACTGGGGGAGCACCTGTATAACCACACAGTGCGCCACTTACCGCGAGTGAGTTCTCCAAGTACTAGGTTACTAGGCCATGGGAATATGCGGATGGGACATCTTTGATTACCCTCTGGTAATTTAACATAGCTATTGAAAATGGTGATTTATAGTGGATTTTCCCATTGATAGCATGGTGATTTTTCATAGTTTTTTGTATGTTTACCAGAGGGTAATTGGTGAAACATGGCTGGCTGGAAAATCGCCGAAGGTTTGGTTACATAGAATTTACCCTCTGGTTATTTAACATAGCCATGGAAAATGGCCCATTTATAGATGATTTCCCATTAAAACCTCCATTTATGAGGGATTTTCCATGGCTATGTTAAATAACCAAGAATTCACCATCAACTAGCCATGGAGGTTTAGTCAAACGTGTCAAGCTGAGGAATCCATATAGTACTAGCCATGGAGGTTTCGTTCCGGAAAATCCTCGGGTAAATGATGGATTCCAACAAACCACCTTTGATTTCCAGAGGCTATCTGTGTTTGGTCCATGTTGGAAAAAATGAGATGGTTAAAAAACATATTCCCTGATTTTGTGAAAAACCATCTCTTTTTTGGACAAAGAACAATGAGTTGACCCAGCAGGAGCAGGTAAAGAGTAAAGAAACGTAAAGCAATATGTAAGACATGTAGTGTCTGGTAGTCCACCGTAGCGAAGTGGTTTCATCTCACCATTCTTTATAGCTAAATCATCTATGTTTCATAACTACTGTGGATGGAAGAAATCCTGCACCAGTTGATAGGTGGTTTATCCCATTATTTATAGGCTTTCTACCATCCCAGGTGGTGCAGGATTTCTTCCACCCACAGTAGGTCACTTTCCATAGCTACGGAAATCAAATTATCAGAGGGTCCAATGTATCTCCCCCAAGTGAGTTGTTGCGGCCAGGCTGTACCAAAGCAGAGGCCCGGTTCTGAGCTGGAAAGTTTAGGCTTAGTTTTTATGTGAGTAAAACACTAGTAAGCCATCCCCAGCATTTTACCATCAAGGGTGGTTTTTCAACCATCAACATAGGGCTGGTTCATTGCTTCACTCACACATTCGAAATAGATATAAAGATGGAAATCTGGAGTTTCCTAAAATGGATTGGGTACCCAATAACCATCATCCTAAGTTAGATCATCATTTTAGTTAGATCATTTTAGGTACCCAATAACCAATGATTTTAGTATTGAAACCTATGGTTTTGCGATACCTCCCCAGCCCCCCGATCGCGGAACCTCCAGCCCGATTCCGCTGATGATGTTCCCAGCTGGAAAGCTCCATGCGAATTAGTAGGTGGTGCCCAATAAAGGTGTACATTGATGAATTGGCGCCCAATGAACTAGTATATCAGTTATGAATCAACTATATAATGGTAACATAACTGATATGAATAACTATATACATATGATCAGTTATGAATCAACTATATAATAGTAACTATACTACATATCAGTTATTACATCTAGTATATCATTATTGTAACTATATGAATGATAACTTAATTATAACATTAATTATAACTATATACTTATTATCAAAATCACCCATGTATGTTGTAGATTAGCTGTACATATTACTATATAACTGTATACTTGGCTATGAGTTACGAACAATTGTATATATATATATATGGGTATGGATCAATACCTATTAATACCATTTTTAGTGGGATGAACGTCCATAATAAATCCCAGCTATTTTGATGTTCACCAGGGGTACAAGGTTTTGACACACTGTCATATATAGGTATGTGAATAATTACATGAACTTCGCTAACTATGCAGGACCACCTTGCAGGTAGTGATTTTGGGATCGGAGTGATGTCCCTGAAATCCACTGAGTCATCGATCAGTGTAGGAAAATCATGATGGAATTTTGTGTCAGATGGGGATAAATGATCAATGGTGGTTTAATGGTGGTTTAATGGTGGTTTAATGGTGGTTTAATGGTGGTTTAATGGTGGTTTAATGGTGGTTTAATGGTGGTTTAATGGTGGTTTAATGGGATTTACCATCTGGTAAACTCTGGATGGTTAAGAAATCCTGCGCCAGTTTCAATGATACCCTCTGGTAAACTAACAGTTTGTTATTGAAAGTGGCCGTAGAAATAGTATAAAAATGGTGATTCATCCCATTATTTTCTATGGGTTTCAACCATCCCAAATTGGTGGTGCAGGATTTCGCAACCATCCACAGCAGTTATACACTTAACTCTGCTATAGTTGTATAAAATACTCTCTGGTAAACGTTTACAGTTTGCGACATAGAAAATGGCCATAGAAATAGTGGATTTACCCAGCTATAAAATGGTGATTTTCCCATGAGTTTTTTGTATGTTTACCAGAGGGTATCAATGATAGGTACTATGATAATAATATACCAACAGCTACTGAGTGTTGTTTTCAAAGTTCCCTAGATGGAATTTTATCCCGAGTAGCTGTGTGCCTTTTTTCCTTTCTGGACGTTGACACGTCGATACCCAAGAAGACCCCCCTGGAAGACCCCAACTGGTTGGTGGTTTGGAACATTTTTATTTTTTTCATATATTGGGAATAATAATCCCAACTGACTTTCATATTTTTCAGAGGGGTAGGTCAACCACCAACCAGCCAAAAAATGGTCGTTTCTGCTTGGGAAAACATCTTGAAACCCAGGCGCCGCTGTCAGGCATTAGCGGATTTCCAAGCGTGGAACCCTTTGAAGAAAATGTCACATGGTGGCAGCCGTGGCGCCTTCGCAAGTCCCTTCCTATTCAGAACTGAGGTTTCGGATATGGGAGTGGGATCTCTATTAATTAATTATTAATTACTGGTCCCCGCTGTGCTTACTTTTAATCGCACACTTAATGTCAGTTTCTTGCTGCCTGACTTACATTCCCTTTAACTTCATTACATATTGTATTATAATGTATTATATACATATCTCAAAAAAAGGACCAATGGTAATTCCAATTCTTTCAAACGTGGGTGTGGGGATCCCCAATCATCAACCCCCCAAAAAGATGCTCATCATGGTCCCCATCAAAAATTGCCCCTTCGTTCTTTTGCCGAACCACATTATGATCATGAACCATCATTGCTACGACCCTTACAATGTGGGGCCCCCCACTTATAAGTCTGTTTATAACCCCATCAACTATAGATATATCTACCATAAGTCCTAGTTTTTGGAGATATAAACCAACTTAGCTATCTATGGGGCACCACTATGTAGCTTATATGGGTATCACCAAAACCAATTAGACCATATTTTTGGGGGATGAACACCCGTAAACACTGGCTTGAGCCATCCATAGCGCCATAGCCATATGACTTCATACAATGAGCATTATAGACTTACCATTGGACCATCTGTTTTAATATGACCATTAAGACATCGACCATATACAATGTCCTAATATAGTAACACACTGTTTTTCATGGGATAATTTTGATGTACATACTATGGATGGTTAAGAAATCCTGCACCAGTTGATAGGTGGTTTATTTATCCCATTATTTATATGGTTTCAACCATCGTTTTGGTGGTGCAGGATTTCTTCCATCCACAGCAGTTATACACTTAACTCTGCTATAGTTGTATAAAATATCCTCTGGTAATTTAACAGTTTGCGGCATAGAAAATGGCCTATTTATAGATAGTTGATTTTCCCATGAAAAAAGTGGGATTTTCCGTAGTTTTTTGTATGTTTACCAGAGGGTATCAATGATAGATACTGTGATAATGTTATATACCAACAGCTACTGAGTGTTGTTTTCAAAGTTCCCTAGATGGAATTTTATCCCGAGTAGCTTTATAAATGGGTGATAAGTTAATTAATACAATGTGGGCCCCAGTTTACGATAGCGTTCAGTTGGTTTATAACTCTAATAACTATGGTTTATGATACTTATAACGAACTAGTTAATGGGGGTTATAAACCATCTTATAACTGGGGGGCCCCACATTGTACCATAAACCATAGTGAAATTGGAGTTTCTATAGATCCCAACGATTCCCCTCGCTCATTGGAGTTTCATTGGATGGGTGATAAGTCAACCACCAACCAAAAAACATTATTAACCATCATTAACCATATAATAACCATATAATAACCATATAATTACCAGAGGGTATATCCTGATTCACCGCCCACCATTAGACCTCCTCTGAGGCGCGCCAGTTGCAAAGACACCTGGCAACAGCAGGCGCCGGTTTGTTTTTTGCGCTGCGGAAAATGAAGCTTTGTTGGTAGTGAAACCATGGTGATATAATGGGAATATCATGTAAATATAAATATATGTAATATATATAATATAATATATATAATAAAAATAATCATAAATAATAATAATAAACAATCATTCTAAATAATAGTAATATTAGTATATAATGTATGTATAGACATATATGTATAACAAGCACGTAATAAATCAAGTATCAATGTTGGCGACATGTGTATATATATATATATGTATATATATATATATGTATATGTATATGTATATATATATATGTATATGTATATGTATATGTATACTGTATATATATATATATACACACCTCATTCGATGGGCCCCATTGATGATTTTATATTTAAATGTCCATTGACATATATAGGACACCAATCATGTTTGATGACACCAGAGGGTAGATCTAATGTGGTAAAACCATGTAAAACCAATGCCATAAACCATACCATCAACCATGACTGAGGGGTCATACCTGTTTTTTCCCCGTTGCTACGGCTATACCCAATTTTTCACCAACCTATTAATTGGGGACGGTTGGATTGACATGGGATTTACCACATTGAATGTCATAACTTTTTCTGAAACCACCATCATTGGATGATATCATGGGATATGTTATGGGGATAACTCATGCACAGTGGGATACAATGGGAATATACCCTCTGGTAAACGTTTACAAAAAACTATGGAAAATCACCATGTTTAATGGGTAAATCAACGAACTAAATGGCAATTTTCAATAGCTATGTTAGTTTACCAGAGGGTAGTGGGACACAATGGGATACAATTGTTTCTCTGTTTAAACCAGCAATCTGGACACGTTATAACGACCTCTCCGCGACGTCACTCGAAATGATGATTCGGATTGGGGAGTCATCACAAAATGAGCATCTTGTGTTTTCTTTTGAGAGACGATTACCCTTTGGTAAACAAACAGTTTGCTATTGAACATGGCCCATAGAAATAGTGGATTTACCCAGCTATAAAATGGTGATTTTCCATAGTTTTTTTGTTTTTTTACCAGAGGGTACATTTAGAGAAAAGGAACGACCTGTATGATAAGTTGGGTAAGCTGATCATACGTGTTTTGTAGCGCAGCTGAGACTGTGTAGGCTCCTCATTGCGCAGATAGCCTAAGTTCGTGGTCCCAAACAACCCAAAAACGACACCGTTCGAATGGCACTATTTCAGTTTACACAATTACTATAATCTGGGTAGGGGTATGGGTCAATACCTATAGATACATTTTTAGTTGGGCTTCATGCGGATAGAAACCCGCGTCGTTTCGTGCATCAGAGCATTTTTTCTTGTTGCTTGGATTTTATGATTCATGTTCCGCAGCCATTTGCCTGTTAATTTTCCTGCGTTTTCCCATATAATTTCAGCTTGCCTCATCATGCAGACAAATTTCATCTTTCAACAGATCAAACTTCATGTGCAGAAAAGTGAAAATCAGGCACCGCAAAATTATCAATCTATGTTTACAGAAGTGACAAGCTTTGAAGAAGTGAAGTTGTCATATACAAGAGCGTCAAAGTTTCAACCTCTTGCATGGATATCTTAAAATGTATATATATATATATATCCAACCAACCCCACCCCACCCCACCATAGCGTAGCATGACGTGTGTGTGCAAGCGCAAGAGAAGATCATCCTAGCGTAGCATGACATCGGTGTGCAAGTTAACATGAACGTTATTACCCCGCCCCACCCCACCCCACCCATATGCATTTTGTATTGCGGGTTTCTACCCGCGTGAATGGTTTTAGTTGGATGAACATCCATTTACCAGCTATTTTGGGATTCACTAGGTACCAGGGTTTTGACCCATCCCCATCTATTCAGAACATGTCAGACCAATTACTGATGAAACAAGGGGGATATTTCATGGGATCTTGTGGGATATAAAACCAACAATACGATATGATCGGTTTCTCTGAAATGGGAATAGAGATGGAGCTGGTGGTTTCGCCAGAATATTGAGGTAAAATAACCATCGAAAATAGGGGTTTAACCAACAATTATATAATTCTGGGTAAATTATAACGACCTCACTGTTCTCCCTCACTATAATCATAGTTAGTAAGGGGAATCATCCCCATTCATGGCCGCAAGATTCAGGTTAGTGAATTATTATAATTTACCCAGATAATTTGGATATCATTCGAAGATATGCTGGGGTAAATGAAGAAATCATTGAAATCAAAACAAACGGATCCATAGTTTTCTATGGGAACATGATCTACAAATAGTATGAAATAGTGGGTCACCATAGGGGGAACTACACACAAGCAACAGCCTTTTCAGGGCTCACTGCTTGTGTCTTGAAGCAAAGCGACAACTTTCCTGTAAGCAAACGTGTTCATCAAAGGATCCACAACCCTTTCAAGTTTTGTCCCGGCACGAGCTTGTTCTTTGTTTTTCCGTTTCAATTTCTAAAACAATGCGTCAACAAACTCCTCAGATTTGCTTTTTGTATGATTTTTTCCAGGCATGTTCCCATGATTTTCAAAAATTATCCCATCATATCCCATATTATCCTATCATTTTCCAATGGTTTTTCATGAGGTTTAATGATTTACCATTGGAAAATGATGGGATAATCATTAAATCATGATTTTCCCATCATTAAACCTCATTAAACCTCATTAAACCTCATTAAACCTCATGAAACCTCATGAAACCATTGGAATCCCATCATTTTCCCAGCCAAATCCAGCCAGGATTGGCGCCCTGGAGCGCCAGCCAGAACTCCCAGGAGCCGACGCTGAGCCGACGGTCTGTCAGCAGCTGAAATCTATACATACCATTTTTAGTGGGATGAACATCCATAAATCCCAGCTATGACTTGGGGTTCACCAGGGGTACCAGGGTTTTGACCCATCCCCATATGATTTATATTGATTTATGATGGTTTATGATGATTTATATGGGGACATTATGGACTATGATGGGATTAAAAAAATGATTTCACAATTTCCAAACCAAATAAACCAATTTCCAAACATGTAAAAAATGGGATTTCCCCGCGTCGAGGTTGGATAGAAGCACACCGAAGTCCAAGAGATTGAGCGTTTTAGGGACTTCGCCAGCGAAAATCGGATTTGGAAAACTGGATTTTATAGTGGTTTAATGGGATTTATAGTGATTCAATGGGATATTAATGGGATATACCCTCTGGTAAACTAACATAGCTAGTGAAAATGACTATAATAAATTATAGTATATGATAGTTGATTTACCCATTAAACATGGTCATTTTCCATAGTTATGTTAGTTTACAAGAGGGTATTCCTAAATATTCAAGAATGTGGAGTGTCACGTCACGCCAACATTTGTGATTTAAGCATAAACATACTGAAGAACATGGTCATTTTCATGGTTGTTTTTTCTTGCTCAAAGCATATACCCTCTGGTAAATTAACATAGACCCTGAGAATCACCAATTTTTAATGGAAACTATTCTTCCAACCCCTATCTGCCAGGGTCTATGTTAATTTACCGGAGGGTAAACTCTGAGACTTGGTGTTTTGAGAAGCCTGGTATGACCTGTAGGATCCCTGGCTGGCAAGTTTGTTCGTAGGGACACATGAAAGGATACAGTAGATGGACAAAAAAAATTAAAGCCTACAGACATGGGTATGGGTCAATACCTATTAATACCATTTTTAGTGGGATGAACATCCATTTACCAGCTATTTTGATGTTCACCAGGGGTACAAGGTTTTGACACACTGCCACATCTGCCAAGTAATTTTCCACACCCCAAATTTCAATGTTCAACAAATTCCAAAAGTATCCACCGCACCCGCGTAGCCCAAGGACTTGAAATTTGGGGGTGCAGGGGCGACAACAATACAGCAAGGGTTTGATGAAACATCGTCCTATGGTATGACCCAGAGTGACTGTACGCAAGGATCATGGCAACTGATATAGTAAGTGCTTTATACAGGATGGGGCCCCCAAGATAGCGTTCAGTTGCCTTATAAATGGCTGAATGAACTATGGTTTATGGTAGATATTTCACGAACTAGTATTCATGGGGTTTACAAACCAACTTATACCCTCTGGTAATTTAACATAGCTGGAAAATCCCAACCATAAATGGAGGTTTCTAAGAATTCTAGCCGGGAAAATCATCTGTTTCTATGGCTTCCAGTTCGCTATGTTAGTCATAACCAGAGGCTGGGGGCTCCATGGGCTCCCTCAATCGTCATGGGACACATCAAAAACATCACAACGGTGCCCCAGCAGTTGGACCAATGAACATCAATGAGGGTTTATAAATGGTTTATATTTCACTTACTTAATATAACTGTGGTTTGTACTTGGGTTTATATGTCACTACTTCTTTGATGTTCATTACATGGGTATGGGTCAATACCTATTAATAGCATTTGTTAGTGGGATGAACATCCATAAATCCCAGCTATTTTGATGTGAACAGAAGGGGTGTACTATTGGTTTTGACACACTGCCACATGTAAACCCAACTACAAACCACAGTTATATTAAGTAAGTGAAGTATAAACCATTTATAAACCCTTATTCTCCAACAAACGTTGGATGTTGACCTTATAACTATTGCATGTTTCATCACCATCAAAACCCATTTGGTTCACCTCATGTGGTTACAACAAAAGATGGCATGGCTGGAAAACAGTATTCAACATCATTACCCTCTGGTAAACTAACATAGCTATTGAACATGGCCATTTATAGTGAGTTTTCCCATTAATAGCATGGTGATTTTCCATAGTTTTTTGTATGTTTACCAGAGGGTAACCAGGTCTTGCGGGGTTATAAAAGGGGGTTAGAGGTAGTACAATGTGGGCCCCCCTAGTTATAAGTTGGTTTATAACCCCATAGAACTATGGTTATAACAACCATAAACCCTAGTTATTGTAGTTATAAACCAACTTAGCTATCTTGGGGGCCCCACATTGTAGTGGTTTGATAATACTTGAGAAAAAAAGGATTCTTCGCATTGGCTACAGGATGGGGCCGTAAACAGTAAACGCGCTCGCGCGTTCAGAAATGCCGAAGAATTGTTGTGGCTGAATGAAGGTAAAACATGGTAGATATAACATGATATCTGGGTAAATTTAATCACGACCTCACTACGACCTCGCCTTGGAAATCATGGTGAATGTTAGGGAAATCATCCCCAAATGGCCGCAAGATTCAGGTTAGTGAAATATTATAATTTACCCAGATGATATAACTATGGTCAATGGGTTTTATAAACCAAGACATATCACTGATAGCGGCTGAATTTTGCCTTATAAGTGGCTGAATGAACTATGGTAAAAATGGTAGATATTTCACGAACTAGTATTCATGGGGTTTACAAACCAACAAACATACCTGGGGGGGGCACCATCCTGTAGCATTCTATGATGCTTGTTTGTTATCATGCGTTGGCGGCCAGCAAAATAGGTCTAGATCCCCAAAATCCCGGAGCTTGTCACCAGTTTCCCCATATGTTCCCTATGAAAAATGCCCCATTTTTGGCAGCCAAGCACAGGGTGGTGCCCCAGTTCGGAATCGCTAGGTTGATAAATAAACATAAGTCCACTAAGTAGGGTTTATGGTAGATTAAATCTAACTATAGGATGCCGGATGCCCATCTAGGTTACAGGTTTGATACCATCTAGGTTTTTGTGGGTTTTAATATCATTAAATCTATAATGCAACATTCTAGATGGGTTTGATATCATCTAGGTTCATGGAGCTTTGAAAGCAAGAAACGTTGAAAACGACGTCAAAAACGGCGGGGGCGATGGGCGGTGGCGCCGTGCATGTTTTGTCTCATCGTCCTTGAGGAGCGCGAACTTGCTGCCTTTGTGGAGAACGTGAAGAAACTGAGAGCCTTAGGCGAGGCGAAGATCTGATCTTCGGCACCCGGTAGCCAGCACAACGTGGGGCCCAAACGATAGCCAGCATGTCAGCGTTCAGTTGGTGAAGATCACTCCAACAATTCTGGTTTATGGATGTTTGTGGCAATTGCCCTCTGGTTATTTAACATAGCTATGGAAAATGTCCCATTTACAGATGATTTTCCCATTAAAACCTCCATTTACAGATGATTTTCCCATTAAAACCTCCATTTATAATAGATTTTCCAGTTCGCTATGTGAAATAACCAAATGGTATAACGAACTAGTTCATAGGGTTCATAAGTCCTAAACCAACAAATACCTTGGGAGCCCCACCGTGTACGGATATAATCTCAGATTTTGTGGGGGAAAGTACCGGGAAACTATGGGAAAAATGGTTGGCATAATCAACGAATTGTGATTTATATTTATATGGTGATAGATACTAAGGGGATGGGTTTGATGATCATCATCAGGGGAACTCATCAAAAAAGGTGCTTTCAGTAACAAAGATATTGAATATTGGGATAAATAAGGACACACCATGGTTGATGATGTAGTAATTTCGTGGGGATTTCCCAGCGGAGAATTGCCAGTTGATGGATGATTTTTGCCGATGATTTTAGTGATGATTTTCCAGAGAAAACCGTGTATGAAACCAGAGGGGACCCTCTGGTAAACTAACATAGCTATGGAAAATCACCATTTTGAATGGGAAGATCAACTATGACATAACCAGAGGCTAACTGGGGTGAACTTTTGACCCCGGCTCATGATATTCCCATGAATCTTCCAGTTTTTTTTTCCCATGAAAATGGTTGGAAAAATGGATGGTGTGAGATTCCACAACCAGAAATCCCATGAAATACGCATTCAATCTCCATTTGATGCCGATTTTCCCATGTCAAAACCTTCGTTGTCGCCAGGCAGGCTGAAGAGTCACGTGCAGAAAAAGCTGATGGATTGCTGTCCCCTTTGGAAGAACCTGGAGGCGGGATGGTGGGGAATGGGAATGGATGATGGGGACCCAGAAAACTAATTAATTAATTAGATGAACCACTTAGTAAGTAGGTTATAACTCCTTGGTTATAAGTAGGGTTATTTCACCTGTAACCGGAGTTATAACCCACTTACTAACTGGGATTAAGCGTCAGGAAATTGACATAGACCCTGCAAATAGCCAATTTTGAGTGGAAACTACTCTTCCAAAGCCCTATTTGGCTGGGTCTAGGTTGATTTCCTGGGTGGTTTATCATCCCGTAATTTTTCACAGCTGGGTTTAGTGCTTTGAAACCAGTTTAAGCGGTTGAAATAAAGTGAATCTAAGCCATGGAAGCCAGGCATTTTTTACTGGGGTATTTCACCTCAAGTAAACTACCCTCTGGTAAACATACTAACATAACAATGGAAAATCACCGTGCTATCAATGGGTAAATCCACGAACTAAATCACCATGCTATCAATAGCTATGTAACAGTCATTACCAGAGGGTAAGGACTGGAATTTTCATGGAAAATCCCATGGAAAATCCCCCATTTTCGGATCATTTCCCCAAGCTATGTCAGTCTACTGGAGGGTTTGACTGTGTCGCGATCCAAGCGAAGCCAGGAATCTAGCTGAGTTTTTTTTAGCCATTTTTTGCGAAGTGGCTTTTAAACAATTGGGAACATCGTATAACATATCTAAAGTCTTCTGAACAAGACTCGCCCAAGTGTTTTTTTTTGTTTAATAATTATAAGCCATTCCGAAAAATAAAACACTGAATTCATCGGGATAATCCTATATCAACAGATAGTTCACGGGATATGGTAATGACTAACAGTTTGCTATTGAACATGGCCATTTATAGTGAGTTTTCACATTAACGATGGTGATTTTCCATAGTTTTTTTTGTTGTGTGTGTGTGTTTACCAGACGGTAATTTGCATTCATCTTCAATCAACAGATATCAACAGTATTATATATATATGGCGCCAATAATCCAACATGCGCCAATAGTTACTCCGGTTGGTGGTTTGGAACAATGAATTTCATTTTTCCATTCAGTTGGGAATCATGATCCCAACTGACGAACTCCATCATTTTTTCAGACGGGTAGATATACCACCAACCAGGTATTATATATGGCTAATCCAACATGCACCTCCAACCATTGGGAGATAGATCGAAGGGTTTATGGCATTGGGGCACCTAATTTTTCCGTTTTCCAATAGTTTCCTAATTTTTTCCCAGGGGTCTCCTGGACATTTCGTAATTGGTGTTCCTAACTGTTTCCTGAATTTTCCCAATGTCCACCGAATTCTTCCATGATTCTCATAGTTTTGATGTTCACCCAGATGTTCCGTTAAATTCTTCATGTTTTTGTTCCTCCAATTTTCACCATGGGGGTTCCATACCCTCTGGTAAACTTACAGTTTGGGAACTGGAAAATCACCATCTTTAAGTTCGGTAAATCAACGAACTCAATGTGCCTCAATATCGCAATGTAACTTTTCTGACCAGACATTATATCTATCACCAGATAACCATAGTGAGAAGCCATGGGATAAGCATTTGATAACCATTGAAACCATCTGGGATAACCATCAATGATGGCTTATCTGTTTTGATAACCATAGTGAGAAACCATCAAATATCACCAGATAACCATTGATGGTTTTCCATATTTTTCCATCTGTTTTCCCCTTATTTTTTTCGAAGCAAACTTCCCGAGTTTTCGGTGCACCGTGGACTCCGGTGGACCTCTCGAGTGGCCAAGGTGGGTTTTGCGGCCAAGGTGGCGACAAAGGAGGTCTTGCAGGTGACGAGTCGCCCATGTGATGGAGTTTCAGCCCATGAATCGTTAAAAACTGTGGGCCAGTGAAATCCGAATCACCAGGCGATAGATGATTTATTCCATTATTTTGTTTGGGTTTCTGTTACCCTCTGGTGAACTAACATAGCAATGGAAAATGGCTATTTATAGTGGATTTTCCCATTGAGAATGGTGATTTTCCATATTTATGTTAGTTTACCAGAGGGTATATCATGTTATATCTACCATTGGACCATCTGTTTTTCAATGACCATTAAGACATCGACCATGATGACAATGTCCTAATATAGTAACACACTGTTTTTCATGGGATAATTTTGATGTACATACTGTGGATGGTTGCGAAATCCTGCACCAGTTGATAGATGGTTTATTCCATTATTTTGTTTGGGTTTCAACCATCCTTTTGGTGGTGCAAGATTTCGCAACCATCCACAGAACCATGTTATACCTACCATTTTTGCCATAGTTCATTCAGCCACAAGCATGTTCGGCAACTGAACGCGAGCTCGAACGGGGGCCCCATCCTGTATGGAAACTCACCATTCTTAATGGGTAAATAAACTACTTCTATGAGCATTGTCAATAGCAAACTGTTAGTTTACCAGAGGGTATGACTCTGATAGCTACAGGATGGTGCCGCCCAGTGATAAGTTTTTTGGTTTATCAAGCCCATGAATTTCTTAGTTCCTTGTATCTAGCATAAAGCATAGTTAATAACACTTATATGTCAACTTAACTATGGGTATCTTACCATTCATCACCATCTGGTTGGTGGTTTCAAACATGAATTTTATTTTCCATTTCATATATGGGATGTCATCCTTCCCATTGACGAACTCATGTTTTTCAAGATGGTTAAAACCACCAACCAGATAATTTACCAGATTCATGTACCTATAATTATCCGGTTACTATCCCTATAAAACCATATAAAACCATCTAATCCCTATAAAACCAGCCATTCTATTTTGAATATCTTCCCATTTCCTATAGGAGAAATAGGGGGAAAAACCGCCACAGTGAGGCCCACAAACGAAAACCAGCGGAACACGCATAAAACCAGCGACAAATTAAGGATTTAATGGGATTTATAGCTGATTTATGATAGCTAAGTTGACTTTTCACTTGGTGAACGTTTGGGTTGCGTAAACCAACGTCCGCTTAATTTAACTGGGGCGCCTCGCCTTGTCGGGTGAAAAATTTCCATGTCCTGCTGGTGAATTTCCCATTAAAAAATCCTAGGGATATAATGCAAGGTGGGCTCCCCAGCTAAGTTGGTTTATTACTCCAATAGCTATGGTTTATGGCAATTATAACTATAGTTAATGGGGTTTATAAACCATCGTTCCATCACTGGGGGGCCCCACATTGTACCATAAACCATAGCTAAAAAACATATTATAAAACTATAGTTAATAAGGTTTATAAACCCCGCCCGCATGACTGCGGGCCCACCTTGCAAGAAAGGTCCGCAAAAAGAAAGGGCTTACCCTGTGACAATCAAACGTGGCAATGGAAATCCACCATTTGTACATGATTGGTGGTTTAGAACAGTTTTTTATTTTGCCATTCAGTTGGGAATGTCATCATCCCAACTGACGAACTCCATCATTTTTCAGAGGGGTAGGTATGCCACCAACCAGATACATGATGTTACTATTTACACCACCAATTGCGGAGGTTTTCTGTTGCCACCTGTGATTGGTGGTCTCATGGAGATATGATGCGTTTTTTTTTAAATGGATCCTAATCTGGATATTAAATTATGGGGAAACATTTTATTTTTTAATGATAACATATAGATAGATACATATAGCAACTATATCTGGTTGGTGGTTTGGAACATTCTTTATTTTCCCCAATAGTTGGGATGATGATCCAATCTGACTAACCACCAATTAGTATAGCAACTATATACAGTATACCCTCTGGTTATTTAACATAGCCATGGAAAATCCCTTATAAATGGAGGTTTCTAGCTGGGAAAACCATCTATTTCTATGGGCCATCTATACCATGGCTATGTTAAATAATCAGAGGGTGTATATATATATAATTTATATTGTGTGATTAGGATGGTTCAGCCCAATTCTAAGCGGATAAAAAACCAACAATGGTGAGTCTAACCATGAAAAATGTAGATTTAACTATGTAATATGTAATATAATATATAGTTATCTCTACTTATCTCTAGTTATCTCTAGCAATATCTAGCTATATCTAGGTATGTCTAATTATATCTAGTTATATCACTAATAACCACTATAAACAGATATAAAGACCACTGTACCATATGCAATTATGTATACGAACAACTAGTTGGTAAATTTGATTGTAACTGAAAATCATTGATACAAATTGTTTTGTATAACTCATCACCATCTAGATGCCAATAAGTTGCCTTCCGAAAGATCCTACAAGAAATATGGGGTTTCTGAGGAGTTGTTTTTTTTTTCAGCGCAAATCATATATCAACATCATCCAAAATACGACCATTTAAGTATTGAAACACCTGAATCTTCAGGACACTTTTTTTTTGCCAAATTTGGTATTTCCAAAGTTTAGTATTAGACAACTTCATAATTTTTGGCTTTTACAGTGTGATAAAAAAAAGTTGGCAACCATCATTCGGTTTACACATAGTAAGTGATGTTTATAGTACTTGATACCATACAGTTATTTATTGCCAAATCTCTGATGAATTACCAAGATTCGCAAGTGACTGTACGGGTTACCAGTATTTGCCGTTAGTTTTATCACTATTATGATAATGTTTGTTTTCCTGTCATTCTTGACAATGATTTCCAAAAATGGTTCTTTCTATAAACCTACAAAGTGAGGTTCCCCAGTTATGCTTGTTGATTTACAACCCCCAATACCTATTGGTCTATTTCCCATAAACTTAAATCGTAACTAAGTTACAAGTGCGTCAACTTAGCTATCATAAATCAGCTACGTAAATCCCATTAAAATCCACATTTTTTGCCGGTGAAATTCGCATTTTCCTATATGTTCCTGAGGGTTTTCGTCAACGGGGGCCTCAGCTCTTATTATATAATTAATGTGAGTAAAACAATAATCAACCACCCATTTGGGAATGGTAAACATCCCACCTATTGATCGTGATTTGGGAGATGGTGCAAATGGCATTGTTTTACCCACATTACCCATCAACAGGGGCCTCTCCTATGATTTCTGAGCGATTTCACTGACATCAGGCTGGCCCAATGATGGCAGAGCACTCCCTGAAATCCAGGCGAAAAAACACCGGTGACGGAGGTAACCACGTCGAGTCACAATTTTTTGTTTGGAGCATGTCTTATTTTGCCATTCATCAGAATTCACTTGGGAATAATCATCATCCCAACTGACGAACTCATATTTTTCAGAGGGGTAGGTTGAAACCACCAACCAAAAAACATGGATAACGGTTGATTCTGGTTGATCGGATTTTTGGGAATCTTACCAACCATAGTGAGGATATACTGTAATGAAGATATTACCAGCAAAATTTGGGGTCTTGCCATGAAAAGTAGGGGTATCACCAACAATACACATGAGACCGTTATAGATGTTGCCAGACTTAGCGATTCGTGGTTCGTGTCTAAACCTCAGAAAACTCTGAGATTTCTTGGGATATACCCTCTGGTAATTTGTTACAGTTTGCTATTGAAAATGACCATAGAAATAGTGGAATTTCCCATAGAAATAGTTGAATTTCCCATAGAAATAGTTGAATTTCCCATAGAAATAGTTGAATTTCCCATTGAAAATGGTGATTTTTCCATCCGTTTTTTGTAGGTTTACCAGGTCGGCTAGCCCAGGTAGGCACGAATCGCGAATCGCTGGATCTAAGCAGTCCATTGGATTCAGCTCCACTGTCGTGGGAAATCCGGATCCCCTACCCTCTGGTAAACTTACAAAAAACTATGGAAAACCACCATTTTTAATGGGAAACTCACTATAAATGGCCATTTTCAATAGCTATGTTAGTTTACCAGAGGGTATATATCAATCTGGGTAAATTATAACGACCTGACTGCGACCGAGCAAAAAGGCCTAATCATGACCATCTGGTGCTAACAATCAACTTCCATCAACTTCCAATCATTGGGGATTCTAAACATGTCGCAAGGCCATGGTTTGGGTGTAAACCCATCATGGTTAAACAAGGTTAAACCTGAAAAAGCTGCTGATCAATAGTGGTTAATAGTGTTCCATACCTGATTAATAGTGGGTAAAACAATAATTATAATAAAGCATCCCCCAGTTATCACCATTTTTATAGCTGGGATGTTTACCATATGTTTACCATTCCCAGAAAAATGGCTGCTTTATGACATTCTTTTACCCACCTGTAATACCACATGGTTTTTTCCCACCCGCGCCCATTTCCGTGTCGTGAAGTCCTTGCCGCGAAAAGTGATTGCGCCCATCATCTTGGGAAATTAAGTAAACCATCTATTTCTATGGGCCATTTCCCATGGCAAACTGTTAAATAACCAGAGGGTATCCATCTGGAGTTGATTTTCCTTCACATGGTTTTTCCATATTTCTGGGTAAATTTAATCACGACCTCATCGCGACCGAGCCTTGGAATTCATGGTTTATTTATGGGGAATCATCCCCATTCATGGCCGCAAGATTCAGGTTAGTGAAATATTATCATTTACCCAGATCAATGGAAGAAATGGAGGTAGCTGTGAAAATGAACTATGAAGGTGACCGGGAAAATCTGGTAACTATAATGGTATTTTACATGATTTAACCCTCTGCAAAACTGCAGGTTTGCTGGGAAAATCCAGGGAAAACCCATGGTTTAGGTTTCTTGGTTTTTCCGTTTCACCCCGCTGGGATTTTCGCCAATTTTTTCCAGATGTTTTTCGGATGGTTTTTCGGACCCAGCGGCTTGACCAACATGGGGGATTTTTGGGTAATGTCAACCCCGGATTGATAAACCATGGTTTGTTAATTGGGGGGGTACTCCTCCAATAGTCATTATCTGATACTTAAATGGTACCCTCCCAATTAAACAGCCTAGGGGTTTATTAATCCAGGGTTGACATTATAAAGAACATAAGGGGAGAGTTATTGATATGGACATCAACACATTTGGGATATCATTGGGGTATCTATTAAGAAACCCTATGATATTTGAGGGGCCTGATGTTTCTGAAGAAACAGATGTGGTTGCAACATCAAACATTACAAGCCAATGCAAAGACATCGCAAAAACCAGTGGAAAGAAGAACTTGAAGCGCAATCCTGAGCAATCCTTCCATCCACATCATTTTTGGCTATTCATCCATCTTTTTGATCCATGATCTTTCGACACATCCTTCACCATAGAACACCAGGACTTCACCATAGTTCTCATGTTGCGTAATCCACATAAAATATTCCATTGAATATAAAAATTATACATCAGAATGTACTAATATCCCCCAAAAATAATTTTATCCTCATAATTCGATAATGGGATAATTCTAAATGTACATAGAGTATATTCTAAATTCTATCCCATCATAAAGTTCATATCCCACTTGGTGATTCCCATTCCACCTGAATTGATTTCAGGGGCTGCATCGACCTGAAATCCGTCCGAGCTGCGTTGCAGTGCCTCGGAACACGAGCCAACAGCTCGGCGGGGGCATGATGGGGGCATGGGGTGCGTTTCATATCATGATGACATGACGATTCATAGTGGTTACCCTCTGGTAAGCTAACATAACTATGGAAAATCACCATGTTATCAATGGGTAAATCCACTATATATTTCTATGGCCATTTTCAATAGCTATGTTAAATTACCAGAGGGTATATCAATAGACCATATACAATGTCCTAATATAGTAACACACTGGTTTTCATGGGATAATTATGATGTACATACTATGGATGGTGAAGAAATCCTGCACCAGCTGATAGGTGGTAAACATCCCACTATTTATAGGGTTTCAACCATCCTTTTGGTGGTGCAGGATTTCGCAACCATCCACAGTATCATGATGACATGATGGTTAAGAGTGGTTATATCAATTATGCTGGTTAATGTAAATGTCATGATGGTTCACAATGATGGTTATATATGGTTATATCAATTAATGATGGTTAATAATTTGCACCATGGCCACAGTAATGATGGTTAAAATCGATTAATATCGATTCATCATGGTTATAGTTGTGGTTGAGAATTGGATAATTGGATATTTGATAATCTTTTTGTTTTTTGAAATACCCTGCATGTGGGACCCCCACATATTTTTCTTTCCCAATGCTACATCATGGTTTCTATCAGGGTATTTAAAATTAGAAGGAAGGTGTTAAATGGGCTGGTTGGCTAGTGGCAGTGGGTATCACCAGCAAATATGGGATTAAAGATGTGGATGAGTAGAGGGAATGTTATGGGCTGGTTACCCTCTGGTAAACTAACATAGCTATGGAAAATCACCATGCTATCAATGGGTAAATCCACTATTTCTATGGCCATTTTCAATAGCAAACTGTTTGTTTACCAGAGGATATAACCAACAATATGATACTTTGGTTGGTTTGACAACGGGATATGGGGAGAATCATGATAATCCTTTTGAAGGAGTTACACCATTTTCAGAGAAATCTATCGGAACTCTTGCAATGGGAATATCGGTCTATCGGTTCTATCATGGAATGTAGTGGGCCATAGGGAATTTCCAAATGCAAAAAAATTCACCAACAATCGACAGACGTAGTAAATTTAGGGATTTCAAGAACGTTTTTTAAGTGCAATGTATTTAAACATGATCACGGTGAAAGTTCGTTGGTGATGGGTGTAGGAAGCCTTGAATGGCTGAATATGGCTGATATGGATATTCCTATGGTAAAAATGGTAGATATAACTGATAAAACTATAGTATTCATGCAGAAAGGGACGCCACCAGGGCCCACAAAATACATGTCTAGAATTTTGTGCTATACAAGGCATAAAACTAAATAAAAAATATTTCCACCAAAAAAACAAATCATCAAAGAGAGATTCATGGGGTTTATAAACCAACAAACTCACGTTTCACGTTTGGAGGCACCATCCCGCAGACGTTTTCGTAAAACTTCAGGACGATTTTATCAGGACGATTTTATCTATCGCCACGTGGCAAGGGATCCATGGCCCCAGCTGGACCAAAAAAAGGGGCTCTCCAGTTACCCGACCTGGTACCCTCTGGTAAACTAACATAACTATGGAAAATCACCATTTTTAATGGAAAAATCAACAATACTGTAAATGACCATTTTCAATAGCTATGTTAAATTACCAGGGGGTAAACATACAAGAAAACTATGGAAAGATCCACCATGCTATTCATGGGAAAACGAAAACAAAATTATGAAATGGCCATTGACAATGTTTACCAGAGGGTATGAATTGATTTAGAAACGCATCCGAAGATATACCCTCCGGTGATTTGTTACATAGCTATGGAAGCCATGACCCATTTATAGATTTATAGATGATGTACCTATTGAAAATGGTGATTTTCCATAGTTTTTTTATGTTTACCAGAGGGTAGAAAAGTGGGAACCAAAGGGTAAGTCCAAACGGTAGCCTAGTTATGAACCGTCAGTCGAGTCCGTATGGCAGTAGGTTAGTTCAGCACAAGTGGAGCCCTACTGGGAACATCTTCACCGCAAACCAATCCAATGGGCTGATAAAATCTTGTTGGGAACATCATACTTATCACTGATTTTTCCCATGAAAAACCATGATTTTCCCATTAAAAACAATGATTTAAACCCTATGAAGATCATGGGGTTTTAAGATTTCCCCAAGAAAACCCATCCAATGATCTCAATGATTCCCCAAGCGTAATATGAATATCAGTCGGAATAAACAATGTCACCCCTGTGGTTTAACATTTTTGCTCCGGAAGGTCACCATTTTTAATAAGTAAATGAAAAAACGTATCAAAGTAAATATGGGTCATCTTCCATAGTTGTGTTAAGTTATTGGAAGGTAACATGGAACCTCAAACATGATTGGGATTCCATTTCAATCCTAACAAAATGGGCGGTATGTTGCCCGAAAAATTGGATGGCTGAAGCAAATGTTGAAGCAACACGAGAGAGACTTCCCATGGATTGAACCAAAACAACATGCATCCTGGGTCTCTTTGCACCAAAAAAATGGTTCTACACGAACAGCAAAATAGATACCCTCTGGTTATTTAACATAGCCATGAAACATGGCCCATTTATAGATGATGTACCTATTAAAAATGGTGATTTTCCATAGTTTTTTTTTATGTTTAGCGGAGGGTAGAAAAGTGGGAACATTTTTCACCATGTTTCGGCATCTATTTGGGGGTTCCAGTGCATCACTGAGGCTGAGCAGATGTCAAGACCCCGCAGAGCGAAGGAATTTGTTGAGGAAGTCAGAGAACTCAGGGGGCAAATACCATGTTCTACAGATTCTACCCTGAGCATCTTGAAGGATCATCCCACTTAGTGGTTAGGAAGCCAACAGTTAGGAAGTCCCCCAGAGTGGGGTGATCAACTGGGTGATAATTAAGCATGTTCATGGGATGATCCTCCTAGATAAGAATCATCCCACAACATCGAAACAAGGGAATAGATGACTGATACAATGTGGAGCCCCCCAGTGATGGAACGATGGTTTATAAACCCCATTAATACTATAGTTATATTTACCATAAACCATAGTGACATTGGAGTTATGTGCACCAACTTAGCTATCGTTTGGGGGCCCCACTTTGTGCGGATTTTGAAAAGGGGACCGGGACCCTTTTTTTTTGGGGGCACATAAAAGATTCGTGAACTCGTTATCCAACCGAAAAAACCATGGCCCCAGCCACCACTGACTTCTGACAGATTTTGTTGGCTTCTGAATGGACACTCTCACATCCTATCCGCGAAGCGAAGCAAAATGCATGTATGTCCTTGTCAAAATTCTGCGAAGATCCACTGAAACCACTACCTTTCGGTGTCATGAAACATACCCAGCTAAGAAATCCCCATCAAAGAGGAAGGTGTTTAATGGCAAAATCATCGAAACCATGTCGAACCAACTTTTGAAATTACCAGCAAACCATGTTTGATTACCAGAGGGTAAGATGATTTCTGGTGGTTTTCTTTATTTTTACCAGAAGTTTGGTTTTGTATGGTTTTGTTCTATTTTTACTTCGGGTAAGATGAGTCATCTTTGTTCTATTTCTTAGCTATTTTTCAATCCTGGATATCATCATCTCGGCCATCTCGGCCCCAGGTCACAGGACCCATCTGGTGCCAACAATCAACTTCCAATCATTGGGGATTCTAAACATGTCGCAAGGCCATAGTTTGGGTGTAAACCCATCATGGTTAAACAAGGTTAAACATGACAAATGCTGCTGATCAATAGTGGTTAATAGTGTTTCCATACCTGATTAATAGTGTGATAAACAATAATTATAATAAACCATCCCGCAGTTATCACCATTTGTATAGCTGGGATGTTTACCATATGTTTACCATTCCCAGAAATATGGCTGCTTTATGACATTCTTTTACCCACCATGTTTTTTTCCCACCCATTCATTTCCGTCGTGAAGTCCTTGCCGCGAAAAGTGATTGCGCCCACCATCTTGGGAAATTAGGTAAACCATCTATTTCTATGGGCCATTTCCCATGGCTATGTTAAATAACCAGAGGGTATCCATCTGGAGTTGATTTTCCTTCACATGGTTTTTCCATATTTCTGGGTAAATTTAATCACGACCTCACTACGACCGAGCCCTGGAATCATGTTTTATTTATGGGGAATCATCTCCAAATAGCAAAACTTCAGATTAGAGAAATATTATACTTACCCAGATTATTATAATCCCCTTCGAAGTCTACCCTCTGGTAAACGTTTACATAGCGAACTGGAAAATCACCATCTTTAAGTTCGGTAAATCAACTCTAAATGGACCATTTTCAATAGTTATGTAACAAAAAACCAGAGGGTAGTGGTGAATGATCATCGGGGATTATGAGATCATATATTGGCAAAAAAAACATATTCCCCTATTGGCTAGTATCATCACCATTCACCAAATTACTGTTTCTAGGTCAATCGACTAGATGGGTAGAAACTAATAATCTTAGATGGCTAGAAACTCATCCTAACTAGTCTTTTGCTATGGAATTATCATGGACTATCTACGTTCACCAGCTAAGAATTTTGGACATTTTTTGCATCGCTACGGATCCCCCTGGGACCATGGATTCCGTGGCAACGTGTTGGAGGTTGGATAACCCAGAAGTTATCTGGTTGGTTTAGAACCTAAATTGGAGGTTTAGTGGTGGTTAATAGTGATTAATAGTGGTTAATGATTCACTGGTTGGTGATTAGTGATGGTTAATATCTATTAATAATGATGAATAATGGTTCATTCCCTATTCTTTGATTTAATTGGATGACTGGTTGGTGGCTTCAAACCATGGAATTTTAGATTTTCCATTTCATATATGGGATGTCATCCTTCCCATTGACGAACTCCATGATTTTTCAAGATGGTTATTGCTCCACCAACCAGTTATAGGTTGGTTTATAACACTATGGAATATATGGATATCTATGGCAATCTATGGTTATATCTCCCTTCAACCCAAGTTCGTTCACCTAGAGTTATGTTCACATATGTTCACCAACTTAGCAATTTCGTAAACGGGGGCCCCATGTTCATAGAAAGTTTCATATAGGTTTTTTTCTGACCGTTTAGGAGAAAAAACTCCCGTAGCTTTCCGGATATTTCAAGGCCACGACTTGGGGTGAAACAAATCATTTTTCCTTGAAGCAACCGATGTCATAATTTTTTCCTATTAGAAAGGCTACTTAAAGGGGGAATCCCCGTTTTTCATCCCTTCCCCCGTTCATATTAAACATTCCCTAAACGAAACCATGATTTTTTGTTGGGAATTTCCAAAGTTTCCATTGGGATCATTAAAACAATGTGTTTAATTTTTTCGTGGAATCCCACAGGGTGGGGCCCCCGTTCGATAGCGTTCAGTTGGTTTATAAGTGGCTGAATTCAATTGTTTATGGTAGATATAACTATAATTATAATGGTTTATAAACCAACTTATAACTGGGGGGCCCCATCCTGTAGAGGAATCCCACGACTAATATACCACCCCAATTTCAGTAAAGAGACTGACCAGTACCCTGATTTTATCGATTAATCTTCGCCCCCTGAGGCTCCAAGTGAGTTTTCACCCTGACAAGAACCGAGACCAAGAGGAGGTGCCATGAATGACACTTATGGGATTTGATGGGGATATATATATATACCCTCTGGTTATTTAACATAGTCATGGAACATGGCCCATAGAAATAGATGGTTTACCTATTAGACATGGTGATTTTCCATGGCAAACTGTTAAATAACCAGATGGTATATACACAACATAGGGATAATCATACTGAGATATGAGATAGAATATATACAATGTGGGGCCCCCAGTTATAAGATGGTTTATGAACCCATTAACTATAGTTATAGGTACCATAAACCATAGTGAAATTGGAGTTATGTGCGCCAACTGAACGCTATCGTAAACGGGGGCCCCACTTTGTAGGGGATAGTATTGATATATGAGTGAGGCCCTATATTATATATATATATTATATCAATACTATCCCCTACAAATATGATATAGGATATAGGTGATTTTCACTCTATAGGGATAATATAGTTTAAAATTAGGGATAGAGTGAGGATACATACCCTCTGGTAATTTAACGTAGCTATTGGAAATGGCGATTTATAGTTGATTTACCCATTAAAAATGGTGATTTTCCATAGCTATGTTAGTTTACCAGAGGGTATTGAGATAGAGTGGGCTGCGGCTCAAAGTTTCGGGGCCAGAGCAACAGATCAAGGGCGAAATCGAGGGACCGATCCTAATAGGTATGGATCGATCCGCGGAACAATACCACTTTTTTTGATATGATACTTGGGTCGTTCTAAAAATGTGGTTAACCTCTGGTAAACTAACAAAAAACTATGGAAAATCACCATTTTTCATGGGAAAACTCACTATGAATGGCCATTTTCAATAGCAAACTGTAACACACTACCAGAGGGTAACCCACCAACATGGAGTGTTTCTTGAGGGTGGGGGACCCTAAGAATCAAACATGGCAATTTTGAGTGAACCCACATGAGGAAAAGTTTGATCTAGAGTTAACTGTGTTACCATGGTTTTTAGGACTTTAATTGGCGCACAAATAGAGGAATAGAACTAAGATCATCATTATTAGTTATCATTGTTATAAATTTAATTATCATCTTTAATATCACTATCATTGCCAGTATCGGTCAGTATCATCAATATCATTTTGATCCATTTTGCTAGCGTAATGATGATGATAGTATCATTATTATCACATTATCACCAGTATCACATCATTCTACATTACCCTACATTTGCTAGCGTAAAAAGTCTTTCTTCTCGGGCATGTAGGGTAATCCATATACAGTGGAAAGGATCCACACCTAATGAAACCTGTGAAGCTGGGGATTATGATGACAAGCACGGAAATCTAGGAACAGTATTTTCAGAGAAATCCATATCAATGGAAGTTAGCTACCTTAAAGATATCTAGTAGTGCATTGGATGTTGTGGTACACTTTTTCACTTTGTGCTAGATTTCTGTTTTGGGGCCACCTGGTTTAGAAGTTTTTGTTAATGGGCCAGGTTAAACTAACAGCTATGTTAGTTTACCCGAGGGTAAGCATTGGCTGAAGACATAGGACATGTGGAAACCCGAAGTCTACCCTCTGGTAAACTAACATAGCTATGGAAAATCACCATTTTTAATGGGTAAGTCAACTATTTCTATGGCCATTTTCCAGTTCGCAAACTGTAACAGTCATAACCAGGTCGGGTATCTGAATAAATTCTGCCCCGCCCCACAGGCCTCTCGAGAGATGTTTGAATTGGTTCAGAAGATGTGGGAAAAGGAGTTCAAATAAGGAGCCGCGCTAGGCCCTAGGCATCGCTGCGGGGCTGTGGTTGAAGAAATATTGGCCAGTAGCTGACACTTTTAAATAGCATGGGGATTTCAATCTACTAGTAAATTGGAATATCACCAACCAAAAAAAATGGTCAAAGACCAGTAGCTGGGCCGCTCTATTTTTCAAAGCATCGTTGAAGCCCTGAGTCTTTGTTGCAACAAACTGATCTGGTGGATGGTTGAACCAACTTTTTCACCAACCCTCCTTGGACCGACTTGGTGGTTGAGTACCCCTATGGTGTTCTATGCTTGCGAAGTCCTGGTGATGGGTCATGTCAATGAAATTACCATATGACTGGGGGAATCATCCATTAACCAACTATTTTAGTGTACATGTACGGGTACGGATTGACCCAGAACCATTTATAGATAGATAGATAGATAGATATAGATAGATAGATAGATAGATAGATAGATAGATAGATCTAGATAGATAGGTAGATAGTATGTAGAGAGGGGGGAGAGATAGCTAGTTCGTTATTATTTTCGCTGGGACATTTCCAACCAGCCCAGATGCTTGCGTCCTGAGGAGTCCCTTCAGCGTCACCCACGCCGTCCGAAAAAAGTGGAGCGCGGCCAGGTTGGGCCAGGTTTAAGCTTCCCATTTTTTGAATTCCTGCCGAAATAGTGATAGATGGTACCAAGAATTATCCGGAAATAATACCAATAAATGCCCATTTTTCTAATATTACCTATTATATATACACCTATCTATTTGCCCATTCTAATAGTGATGAATCCGGAAATAGATGGTACCAATCCATGTTAGATCACAGAAAAGACCATTGCCATTGGGAGAATGGCATCATCGACCTTAAATGGGGATGGATGATTTTCCCACAGGGATTCATGATGCTCCCCCGTTCGTTGTTGCGTTCAGTTGCCTCATAGTTGTGACTGAATTCTATGCTTCATGGTAGATATAACTATAGTATTCATGGGGTTTATAAACCACGTTATAACTGGGTCAATGGGAGATCTTCAGGATCCAACAGATGGAGGTACTAACTTAGTACCATATGTCTGGCCATATGAATTGCGGGGATATTCCCTGAAATTTTTTAGGCCTGAAAAATAGGACATATGGTAGGTACCTCCAATTTATCGGTTCCTGTTGCATGGCCATTGAAATATCCAGCAGCAGTACACACTCCACCAGGATGCTGATGAAAGAAATGCAAACACCATGGAGTTTTAGGCGCTGCGGCTGGATTTTCCCCCATTTTCTGATTGTTTTTTGTGTCAAAAACAAAACTGTACAAAGTGGGGCCCCCAAGATAGCTAAGTTGGTTTATAACTCCAATAACTATGGTTTATGGTACTTATAACTATAGTTAATGGGGTTTATAAACCATCTTATAACTGGGGGGCCCCACATTGTATCATGCTTCTGTGCTCTGTTCCTGTGTCCAAAAATGGCAGAGATGTTGGCGGATTTCACGACCCCTACTTGAGAACGCGGTGAAAACACCCATACTTATGAAATAGCGCAGTGGCATCACCTATCGACCAGTGATGGCAGCTGTTTGCATCTCAAGAACTTGAATAAAAACGCCTAGCGGCCTAGCATGAAGAAACATGCGGCCATGGGTATCGGAGTGGCCGTTGGGAACCAGAGACGTTCTTCGGTCACCGCATGTAGGGAGATTCAGAGCCCATCTATCTCCAAAAAAGTCACTGTAGTTCTGATGTTCTGATTTCTAGTCTGAATTGCCGCCCTTGGATTTTCAGTGTTCTTGGGAGCACTAGATGGATAACCCGCATCAGAAGCTCAACAGGTTCAAAACCATTTGGAATTTCATGTCTATCTTGTGACAAAGCCAAAGGTTTCAGCATCCATAAAACTCGGCCCTCGACTCTGGGCACCATGGCACCAACGGCGAAAACTGCTGGAAAACTTGTCACTTTGACCAAAAAAAGTAGCGAGAAGTCTCTAACTATCGTAAGTTGCACAGAAATACTTTTGAATGGAGACCAACACAATTTTGAATGATTTTGATAAAGAAACAAGCGCACACACACATACTTGAACACTGCGATTTGACCAAGAGATGTGAGGCTAGCGATATCACCATGTTTGGCGATTCAAGCAACATGAACAACCACCGCAACCTCGTTTCAAGGTGTTTGTTTGATTTTAGGACGTACGTTCATACCCATCATTGGGGCATGCCATTTTTTGGGACAAATCCAAATATGTCATCAATATGTGTGTATATATATATATGTATCAAGACATGACATATACAAAGTGGGGCCTGCTAGATAGTTTTTTGTTGGTTTTGCTTGACCCCATGAATCATGAACACTATAGTTGTAAGTATCATCATCCATAGTTATTGGAGTTATAAACCCACTTACCTATCCAGGGGGGGCCACTTTGTACATATATACATATACATTATATACATATACTATATATACATATACTATATATACATATACTATATATACATATACTATATATATGATTATTAATGTATGTATCAATATCAAGAAAACAGGAGTGCTCAGGTGATCAATGTTTACCTTGCTGAGTCGGGTAAATTTTAATGACGAATCCCAAAAAAAATCTTCCCCCAGTTGGAGGGGCAAAGTATGATAATAACCCACCTTTTTTTGAGGGGCTATGGAGCCCCTATGTGAGAAACATACACAAAAATCCACAGTTCCATATGTTCCATGTTAAACAAAAACTATCTCATGATATTTGCATGAATATCCCATTCAATCACAATTGTCAATGGACAAATTGCGTGTAAGTAGGTAGTCACTTACGAACATCAAGTTATGAAACTCATTTGGAGATTCGACCGGAATCAAAAAGTTTTGGGATTATTGTATCATAATCTAAATTGGGATAGATTTGGGTTATTGGGATGATGGATTCTAGCGCTACACATTGGGATTTTTGGTGTTTTTGGGTTTATTAACGTGACTACCCAAACGTGAGACTTTTCGCGGGTGGTGAATCATTACCCTTTGGCAAACTAACATAACGAACTGGAAAATCATTAATCATTATTAATCATTATTATATATAATCGTTATTAATCACTATTAATCATTATTAATCATTATGAATATACTGGAGCTATGTACGTTTATATTGGAGCTACATTCGAAGACGTGTCACGACTCTTCGTTGGACACGTACGGTCAAGTTGGATTGTACCGTCCTTGTGGGATGATAACTGGGGGTAGCCCCATGGCTTGGAAAGCTCCATATAAAGTAGCCATCATAGTGGTTAATAGTGGTTAATGATGTTAATAGTTGTTAATGATGGTTAATGATGGTTAATAGTGGTTAATAGTGGTTAATAGTGGTTAATAGTGGTTAATAGTGGTTAATAGTGGTTAATAGTGGTGGTTACCATAGATGTCCCAAATTCCCACTGGTTGGATGATAGCCATGATAGAGGGTTTTTCCTACAGCTCCCGGGACATTGGGATGATAGCCATGATGTTTTGGATGATTTGGCATGGGATGACCATAAGCTTTACCTCCTGGGTTTACCATGACCAAAAAACGATGCTTAAAGATCCACCATTTTTACTGGGAAAAACTCACAAAATATCTATGACCATTTTCGATAGCAAACTGTAAACGTTTACCAGAGGGTATAAACCACATCAACCATTTTTAGTTCTTTGAGAACTTGAGAACATGTCAAGTTTTGGCGCAATGCTGAACACATAAAAAAAATGTGAAGGTAAACACTACAGATATCTAGTGAACATTTACGGTAGTTTTCACCATTCTGATCAATTTTCATCATGGTTGGATTCCCGTGGCATGGGATGACCAGCACCATAAAGCACCATTTCAAGCAGTTCTTAGAACATTTAGAACATGTCAATGGGGATGACCAGCACCATAAAGCACCATTTCAAACAGTTCTTACTTAGAACATGGAAACCATGGATTGGTGATATAAAAACTGGAAAAAAATCTTCACCGGAAACCATGGCCGTCCTAAGCCAGGAAGCCAGGTCCAACGCCGGATCCCCCAGGTGCAGCGATGAACCATGGGTTTTCGGCTCGGCTGTTTTCTATTCAGCCATGAAAAGAAGAGACGAAAAAATCAGAGTAAAATGATGAGGTTTTAGCTAAGGTATGGGGTGATTTTTGTTGATATAGACCTCGGTGTTTTTTGGTTATGTAATAGGGAGTGATACTAGCGGAGTGCGGGTTATGATGGATTATGAACTAAGCCATAGGGAAAGCTGTCAACCAACGAGTGCTGAGATGGTCAATGTTTGCGCCAGTTGGGACCCCCGGCCAGTAGTCGTTTGTTGGTATAGAAGCCTTAATAGAGCCTCCAGTGTCATCAAAGATGGCTGGAAAATCCCGTATCATTTGGAGGTTTTAATTGAAAATCATCGAACGACATAGTGACTTTTTTCCCATTGTCACGTTTGATTACTGGAGGGTAAGTATAGCATCTGTTGAAAACCATAGGTGTAGTTGGCTTAAGAAAACATGACTTGCCGTGGTTTCAAAGGGTTTTATCATGGATCTTACTAGCAAACATATCCAAACATATAAATGGGAATACCGTGGGATTGTCATGGGATATCAACCGGTCAACCTTGGTTGGGTATACGTCAGTGCGGAAAAATCCATTGCTATTGGTTTTTATGAAGAGCCACACCACTTTAGGGTAGCTTGACATCATGGCATTCCAGTTTTCACAGATTTGGGGGCTTGCTCTGCAGAAATCCTGAACAAATATCTTCCACCTTGCCGTATGAGACATCACCAGTGCGTTAAGATTCGTGGTTTTTAGGAGTCAAAATACTCACCACTGTGGTGACCTTTAGGATCGAAGCCACCACTTTAAGGATCCCAGGCCTTTAATTTCCCAACATGATGACTCCCAGGCGATTCATCAGTCGAGGTGACCCCCACTTGGGATTTTTGGAGGCATCTGAATCCTGGATCCTCTGGGCTCAAGC